ACGGACGGAGTTTTATCATTTGCAACGGCATCGATGGAACTGAAAGAAATCATGTTAAGTGAAGCACAAAAAACCAAAAATCACATGAGCTCATTCAGATGTGTGGGGAAAAACAGCTGATTTCATAAATGTTCCAAATACAGTCATGGTTAGCAGCGTCTGGGGAAGAGAAAAAGCAGATATTGGAGAGTATAGATTGGCAGTACTAGGTTATATACTTAGATAAAAAAGGAGAAGCTCTAAACTTTTATCACTCTGTGTAAACATAATGTAACAGAACTGTATATTTCTGTATTTTAAGATAACTACAAGTAGCAATTTTAGAAGTTTTCACTAAAAACAAGTGCTAAATATTTGAAAGTATAAATATATTTACCCTGCTTGGACATTACACAATCCATACACAATTATAATATAATAAAACATCACAGAGTATCCCAGAAATACTAAGTTTTATATGTCTGTTACATTTTTTGATTCCAGAAATGGTCTAGACTCTAATCAATGTGAAGCCAGTGGGACTGGCAGTAGGATGTACAGCATTCTCTGCTGCAGTTACTTGTCATGCTGCAGATTCAGATGGTCAAGCAGCAGATGGAGTTTTTGAGAGCATTGTGTTGCTAGACTTTAACTGACCTTTGGCTTCCGGGAGAAGCTGTGACTATTGCTCAGCTCCCAAGGGACAACCATCGCCCTGGCAAGTACTTCAGACATGGCCAAAATCACTGTAGACAATGGCAGTGTCTCTGAAAGTGGAGCTAGATGGCACAGAGGAAAAAGGATTAAAACCAAAGAACAGGGACCGACCAGTACTGTTGGATTTCCTGTGCTTCACTGTTCCCTGTCTGAGGGAAACTGTGCCTGGTTGTTCTGCAACTTCTATGCAGTCAGTATACCAATTCTATGTGGAGGACAAACAGCATTTGCTTGACAGGAGTGGATGAAACTGATGCATGCTGGGTTAACAGGACATGTTGTAGAGGCCATGCCTAGCCAGGATTTGTGTGTTATCACTCTGGGAGCAAAGCAAGCATATTTTACTTGTAGGGAGAGAATCAGTTATCTAGTGACCAGAAAGGCCATGAGTAGTGCTCTTCAGAAGCTCCACCTGTTACTTCTCCTTCCAGACACACACTACGGTCATGTGCTTGTGTCCACATGAAATTAAAACAAGCTATGCAATATGCTTTGAACGTGAACTTCCAAGTGAATGATTTAAGACCAATTCATATACATCACACTCTCTCATCATTTCATTCCAAGTGGTTCAGACTCCAGCGGTTGGGGATAATGTGGAGCTGGCCCCGGGAATAAAGATGAAGCACACCAGGAAGAAAGCCCTTGCTCTGTGGATATCTTCTTGCTTCTGGAGGCTGTGAACCTCTCCTACCTTCCTGTGAAACATTCATGACAAAGAACCAAAGACAGACAAGCAGTGAGGGACAGGACACATTGAGAAAATCATGGTGGATTAGCCCAAATGGAGATGTGGCAAACAGGCAAACCACTTGCCACATTAAAGTCCTTAGCTTCCTGTACCCATGGTTTAGACTACATTTCCCAGCCTCCACTATCAGTAAGTTAAGCTGAGTGACTGTGTTCTAGCCAAAGCAGCTTGAACTCAAGATACACATTGCAGCACCTCCTACATCCAACCCTCCACCTTTGGCCACTTGCTACAAGGTACAGCAGTAAAATCACTGGGAATACCTTGAACTCCTGCTCAAAGTGCAATAGTTTTGCTATGTGATAGGGCAGATAGCTTGATTAGGGCCATGAGCTGGAAGCCAGACTCCCCTGTCCTATATAATCCACTTCTCTGTCAAAAATTCCCCCTCGCCAGGATACATCTCCCCTCATCTGGAATCTAGGCATTTATTCATTGCTATTCTGACCTTGCAAGAGATGTGCAACCAGGAGGGACTCTCTTTTGTCAGAGACTAGGATGAGGAGGCATTGAAGCTACCTCCCTATACCATTCCCTCCCCTACAATTCTTCCCTTCCTGGCCTGCTCCAACCTTTAAGTATGCCCGTGTGTGTATGTGTGTGCGTGCGTGTGTGTGTGTGTGTGTAGGTGCACTTTCTCACCTTTTAAAGTAAACTTTACCACTTTGTGCACTGTATATGTGCCTGTGCTTGTGCTTGGAATGCTTTTCCACACAGGAGGCTACGACATGGATTAAAAGCAAGCCCCACCTTTCCCAGCTGATATCAGAGTAGCTGTGTGGAAGCGGAATTCAGTCCATCTCCGTCTCAGCAGTACGCGGGTGCTGAATCCTGAAGCTCTACTCCTTGGGCTCTCTCAGAGTTTGGCTCAGGAAGGTCAGCTGAAATGCACAGGTTGATGCCTTCCGTGTTTCTAATTCTGGTAATTTCAGGAGAGGAAAGGCCAATTCAAACTGCTGGTGTTAATGGGATTTGGGCAGAGGAAGGGGAAGAGTGAGCCAGTTGGTGAATGTCTGCTGATTTCTAAGTATTTCCAATGTTTTTGTAATTAATTCTCCCAGTAAGCTACTATTGGTGGAAAAACTCCCTAGTGAGGCATTTTGGGGTTTGTTTTCAAAATATAACAATAGAATATCTTGGGTATGTTGTAAGAAGCTAATTCTAAAAATCTGTCCATTGCTTTGGGCAACCTACCCTACACTTCAGGCCAACTTTTATAACAAGTACTCAAGACAGTAGATGCTCTAAAGTAGTCATGGGTTAATGAGCAAACTTGGAATGGAGGGAGGAGGAGCATGTGCAGTCATTAATGGAACCTGCCCTATGTACTCTAGCAGTGGCAAAGATGTTAAAGATGTTAGAATCTTCATGCTTTAAAATATGCACAGACAATCTATCAGCACCCAGTAATGAGGAAACAGTAAGATTTATTCTTCCTTCTTAAAGGGCACTACACATGTGATTTGTTTTTTCCAAGTATGCTCGTACTGATTAATGAAGTTGGCTGTTTTGGAATCCAGCAGCTTCTCAAAATAATGATGATCCTGCAGAGGCCACAGCGATTGGCAGTGACAGGCGACTATTCTCCAGCTTGTGCGACAGATCCATTAGAGTAGAAATGGGTTTCTAAATCTAAGACAGGCAGGAAACAGAAGGTGGATCATTACTTGTTAGTACCCTCTTAACTTTAAGGATCAGAAATCTTGGGCGGGGGCGGGGGGGGTGGAAATGAGATGGGACAAGGCAGGTAACTTGATAAGAGTGTGCTGGAAACCACACCACACCCCTACCCCTTAACTCTCAGCTCCATTCCATGTTTGCCTAGCCACTTACGCATCAAATAGCTCCCTTCCTAGGATCGATCTCCTTTCACCTAGAAATATTGCATGGTGCCATGTAGCCTCCACCCTTGAAGCCTTATAAAAGAAGTTGGCAGTTAGCAGGGGCTTCTTCTTTCACCAGGCATGAGGCATGGAAGGTGCCCTTCCTGGCCCACTGTACTCCTTAACTACACCCACATGTGTTTGCCTTCTGACCTCTTAATCTTGTATATGTGCCTGTACTGAGAATGCCACTCATAAACAGAAAGATGCCTCCCACCATAGCTTAAATACCAGTTAGTCTGCTTTCAAAGCAGCTGCCTGGTAATGCGCATCCTTCTGTTAGGGAGGAAGGTAGACAGACACTAGCTTACTGTGTAATAGCAGTCATAGAGAAAAGGCAAGAAACTCATGGAACATAGCAGCAGTAGAAGTCTTCAGAAGCAGTCTGGTATTTATATATGAAAGTTGTGTGTCCCCTAACCATGGAGAGGGGTTCCAGTCAACCATCCTGGGGACATCCCAGGGTAACCTTCCCAGCCAGTGTCAAGGGAGCTTCTGGGGATCCAGTAGCCTCAGAAGGGTATTTCATGAATTCCACACCCACCAAGTCTTTCACCCAGCAATATCTCTATAAAGAGGGAGGGAAAAAAAATGAAGGGAAGAATTGACCCAATATCCATAGAAACCCATCTAAATGCAGACTGGGCACTGTGTTCGTTGCCGACTTGCCCATCTGGCCTGCCAAGTGTGCTGTTTTTTCATTAAACTTTGCTAATTTGCTTACCACCAATCTGACTCCCACGTAAGATTCCTTTCTTAGGGTAGACAAGAACCTCTATTCAGCCTTCTCTGATAATACTCAGAGACAGTGGATGATGGCTCAAGTACTTGGTTCCCTGTCCCTGCCTCCCACTTAGGAGACCTGCATTGCGTTTCAGGCTCTTAGTTTTGGTCTGTCCCAGCCCTGACTGTTGCAGGCATGGTGTGTTTGTGTGTGTGTGTACAGATGGAAAATCTATGTCAAATAAACAAAAATTATTTATCTTTTTAAAACGGCAGACTTCATCAATCATTTGAGTTGAAGACTGCAGAGGCACAAAACTCAAAGAACTGAGTTACTGAATTACATAAGAGAAAGCTAGCCAGTGAATTAAATATTTGGCTTTTGACAGACATGAGCCTAACTCACACAGGGAAAGGAGGGAAATATTCCATTTTGGATTAGCCTACTGTGGGTTCCGCATGCCTCCCCCTTACCGCTAGTCTTCTGAGAGCTGACTGAAGTAGAACTGTCCCCATATTACAGAGGGATTAAACAAGGTGCAGAGTGGCTGGGGAGGGCTATCACATGCCACAGCCTAACGAAGTGTGGGCTTAAATACAGACCGCCTGATTTCCAGGGACGAGAATTTCCTTCTGTACAATGCTAAATGTTGAAGATTCCTCCTAAAACTGACACATTACCCACTAATTTACACCTCTAAGTTAGGGAGCAGGAGAGAGAGAGAAATCCTCCCCCTACACATCTGTCCCCATGTTTGTGTTTTCACACCCAGCACTCAACCAAGAACATGGCATAAAGAAGGGCTTTTATCTTTGCCTGCTAAATTTAGACTTAAGGAAAAAAAGAAACAAAATTTGGAAGTTGATATCACATGACAATGAGAGATCAGCAAAACATGTTCCATGCAGCTTTCACATGCAAGTCACCACAGTAACACTTGTAAGTCCATCAACTGTAATTTATTTAAATAATAATTGCATGTTGTAGGTGAACCACTTGCAGCAATATGAAAATACAGAACTCTGAGGAAATATCCAACTGAAACTCATATCCAATAATGCAGAATACTCTTATAGTATTAAGAAATAAAACATGTTGACTTTCAAGCTGTGATTATTTTTGCACTTAAAAATATAAGTTCTAAGATGACATCTGTTTTCTAAAACATCTTAATGGCAAAAAATAGGCAATGGGACCGCTGTCTCCATGTTGAAAATGTAGCTCTCACATCAGCATGAACTTACAAATCAAAGATGATAAAATTAAGACAAAATCAACAGAATACTCAACGGGAATGTCATTTTTATATTACAAACATCAGCAGTTCACAGTTTTCTTTCTTTATCACTTATATTGATAAAAATGCTTTGATAACAACAATCTATCTCACTTTCTGATACCAGCATGTTTCTACTTGATCAGCAGATGGATGATACTAACACATTCTTTTACCATAGAGATCGTATCTTCAGTTTCTAAAAACGTTTTGCTCTGTGAAATTGTGACCGCTGAAAATGGAAAAGATAGGAATCCATGTTCAAATGTAGTCAGGAAAGAGTGGGATACACTGCTGATGATTTTTATTGAGGACATTTCATTACAAAGTGCGTACAGGCTTGATGCAATGATCCAACAGGGATCTGCCCATCGGTCTAAGATGCTGAGGCTTTCAAGCTGACTTTTAGGAATTCAAGTAAAGTGAAAAATCATATGTTACTACAGAATTTTTAAATCCTCCTACATGTCAGGTGAAGATTACAATTAGGTAACTATATCACAAAACAGATTTACTTTCTATGGTTTAAGGCAAAGCAAAATTTCCTAAATGAAGCAGTCACAAAATAAATTTGCTTTGGAAATAAATTTCAGCAATGTGCTAGTAACTTCCTCATTTTTTCTCTACGTATACATATGCACTATATCTATATATACACATATCTATGCATACTGTCTACACTTAGAATCTTGCATCAGAAAATTTCAATGTCCCTATCCATATTTGCCAATAAATATTTTCAAACACTAATACAAAGGGATCTTCAAAAAGCCCATGGAAATTTATTTCTGAAAGCACTATATATTAATTTCATTTTTTGTATTACAATAAACTAAATTCCATTTCTCCACCATGTTTTGAAATCCTTTTTTAAATAAATTGGTCGATTGTGTTCATTTAGGTGTTTGGATGCCAAGATTGAGCAAAAGGGAAACAGAATTTTAAAAAATTAACTAGCACAGAATTTCCCCAATACAATATCAGAAGGCAACATATTGCTGAGAATTAAGCAGTTTTTTTTGGAACACAAGTATCAGTGAAACACATGTGTTCTTTCTCTACAAATTTTAAACAGAACCCAACATTATTTTCTTAGGACATTAAGCTGAGCCAACAAATTAAGATTTTTGAGTGTTTATCATCTCTTTTGATGTAAATTATTCTCTTTAAAAAAATACAATTCACCGTACACAAAGAAATTGGATACTGTGAAGAGTCACCTTAGGAAAGAAATTAATTAATAAAAAAAGATGTTTAAGCATATTTATCATATCCAAAACGGTCACCTGGCCATTAGGCTCCATTAACAATATGAGAAAATTAAAATGCAGATACAATGTCCAAAGTAAAGTGTCTCGCCTTCACATCAAGTAAATCTTCAAACATTCCTTTAAAGTTGAAAACAGTACTATACTTTATTCAATTTCACCAGTTATTAGATTATATGGAGAACAATTTATTTTACTTTTTTTCCCCAATATGGTGCCTGCCACGTACCAATAACTAAAGCAATTTACTAGAAAACATTACTTAGCAATAAAACAAATATTCCCACTAGGATGTGCCAGCACCCCTTAAATTCGTCGCTTAAAGTACACATTTTTTTGGAATGACTAGATTAACAAACAAGGCATATTGTTATTTCTATGCAATGAATTATACTGAAGTTTGATATGAAAGTATTTTGACTTTTCCTATTAAAAATTAGGCATTCTTTATTAAACAACACAAACAGGCAGATGCTTTGCTTTTTCCAGGCAAAGTTCTGTTACAGTATTATTGTTCTGAATACGTCATGGGTACATTGTAAACAAGAGGAAACCGGCCTAGATGTCTTCTGAACCTAGACTGACAATTTCATTGAAAGTTTCAGGCCAAGAACCTGTTCAGCCATCTCACTGTACTAAGTAGTGTGTGTGTGTGTGTGTGTATGTGTGTGCATGTGTGTTTTCCCATAATGATCAAGCTACAAACAGACTGGACTGGGTTGAATTTCTACAGTACCTCTTAAAAAGAAGTTTTAACTATCATGATCAAATCACAACTACTCAATAGATGTCTTTCTTGATAGCAAATTATTCTCATGTGTACTCTTTCCTACATTTCAAGTGTCACAGTTTAGAGTCACCAGATCTAACAGCAAACGTATGAAAGAAACCAACCAGGGAGAGCCAGATTGGGGTCTATCACAAGCAATCTTACACTTGAAGAAAAAAACGTACATATAATTGGGGTGGACAAGAGAGAACAATCCAGAAGAAATCCTTTGTTTAAACTTCTGACAGGACACTATAAAACAGTGCCTATTTAAGATTTACACACTGTTACGTATTTATCCATGGATCATTGGTGCTATTAATTAAGCACTGTCTAAACAAACTTAAACCAGATCTTAATCATATTTATGTATGTTAATTAGGTATCATTAACATTCAGAAATATCAACAGGCAGCAAAAGAAGTAAAACTCATAATATTAAATAAATAATCTGCCAAATTATTTTCTAAGTGAGTAACATGTCCAGAAACTTTAAGAACTGTTGAGCCAGTAGTTCCTGATAACATAAATGGATTGAAAAGGTGTCACTGAACAGTTCAGATTATTATATTGGAAATCATGAAATCTACTAACATCTCAAATTGAAGAAATCACTCTTCTCCAATTTTAACAGTAGTACTTTCTGGAAAAGCAAAGAATGTATACAAAGTCAGATTTACATAGTGATCTTAAAAGTAAGAACTAGGAGTTCTGCATGGCTAGGATTTAGAGAGCATAACATTCAAACATGCCAGGGGCCTCAATCATCTACTGAACAAACATGATCAAAGTTTAAGGGCATTTAAACAGAAAAAAAACAACTTCAGCAGTGCTTCTCACAATGCAACCACAGTGACTGGTCAAAGTACCTGGCAGGTAAAAGCCAGAACTCTAAGAAGCCAGGTAGTAAAGAGGAGTGCATGCATGCGCCCTCGCCACCTCACCAGCTCAGCCACAAGCAACAAGTGCTTCCCTGACTGCCCACAGCACTGGAGCACAGCAGCAACTCTGTTCAGGGGCTGGAATGCACGGGACAGTCTCCTGAGATCCAATCTAGTCTCCAAGGCCACAAACTCCTACTGCGTCAAAATGATCAAGTCTTTACTAACTCAGTTTCATTAAATCCATTTGTATTGAATATTTATAAAAAATAAGGGTACAATGAAGAAAAAAAAAAGGATGCATGAAAAAAATGAAGATTAACCAGATAAATTATAGATATTTTTCTAGTTGTTTACAATGACTATTTTAAATATCCAAAGGATTAGGAATCTCTACTGGCAAAAATCAATATAAAGTGGAATCCTGATGAGAATTAATAACAGGAACATTTAGAACTTAGCATGATGGAATCACTAGTGACTTCCTCACACAGCCCATTGACTTGAAGCCCTGAGTCAGGAATCATGGAGTGGCCTCACTAACCAACGAGCCCACGCTTTTAGTCCAGGTCTGAATAGCAGGCACATATTGCCCCTGCTACATTCACTCCTTTGCAAAAGAGCAGCTGCACTGTTTCAGGCTGTTGGCTTGTACGAGTGATTAGAAATCTTCCTTGAGATTAATTCCAGAAGCTTCTGCTTCTCTCATTCTGCTATCTGAAGTGAGGGGGGCAAAAATCAATGAACTTCTTTTATTGTCTATGAGTTAGGACCTCTGTGATACCCAGTAACACAGAAAACATTAAAATAGGTCAAGCCAATGTAGTTAACTTTCCATTAATTGTTAAGCAGAAATCATGTTTTCTTTGCCATCCTTCCTGCAAAGCACAAACTACCCACATTTACAAAATACCAATCAGAACTCTGGTTCTCTGTTTAAAAAAAGAAAAACAACAACAAAAATGGCAGTTATACCAGGAACTATACAAATTGCACTATCAGACACATTGGCAGCCCAATCCCATCACATATGCACCAGAAAATATTAAATAAAACATTGCTACTTCAGCACTCATTCTTCATATAACACTTTAAAATTACAAAATAATCCAGAAAATTCAACATTAGCTGATGTCACCAGAAACTGGTACCAGCCAAGTATTCTGAACATGACAGGAAATACAAACATCTTTAGCATTAAAGGTATTACATTATTTAATAATCTGCTGGATTGTCCATCTTACTAAGGAATTATAAAAAAGAATGGGAAGCAATGAATAAATCAAAATAAGAAAATATAACAAAGGAAAAATTTATGGGACAGATGATTCTCTTTCATATATCTTTCAAAAGAATTAAACACTCTTAATTTTTCATTTTATAGCATAATGTCAATAGATATATATGCTTTACAAAATAAAGCTACCAGAGCTCTTCTAATGAATTTGTATGCTTTTACACAATTATACACAAAAATAAGTATTGAACATATTTCCACACAAGCTCAGACTGATAATTTTATTTCCTCTTTTTATTTAAAGTTACATAATTCATAATTATAGCACATGCTGATCTATCTGAAGAAGTGTATAGTCTAAATTCAAGTTGTGCTAATCACCCTCCACTGGAACTGCAGCCCAAGTATCAGGAAATCTTAGAGGCCAGCTGACTTAAGCCACCGCCTGGGACTCTCACAGCCCATACTGCAGTGAGTTCAAACCCCAGATAGTCGGGATTCCAATCCAGTGACCTGCTAATGTGACTGGGGAGGCAGCAGATGATGGCTCAAGTACTTGAGTTCCTGCCACCCATTTGGGAGACCCGGATGGAGATTCGGGTTCCTGGCTGCCATCTGACCCAGCCCCGTCTGTTGTGGACATTTAGAGAATGAACCAGTGGAGGGAACTTTCTTCCTGTTTCTCCCTCTCTGTGTCACTCTGCTTTCCAATAAATAAATTAAATATAAGAAAGAAGAATCAGTATTTTGAATAAAAAAAAAACCAAACACCTTTTGCTCATAGGCTCACACAAGAGAACAGCAAAGAGCAATGCATAGTCTATTGTTGTTGTCAAAAGCATTAATAAATTTGAAATTTTTGAATTCCTATGCTTCTGTTATAACAGAGACCACAGACTCAGCCAATATTAATGTTGAGAAGGTAACCAGTGCATTAAAAAATCCTAATGCTGCTTTCCCCAGCAAAGAAACTGAAGCCCATAAGAGTCACTTCCTTACTCCAAGTCATGGAACCCATAGAGTCAGACTTCCCATTTCCTTTCAAAGGCAGAAGATGCTAGACAAAGTCATTGTTCAAAAACTGAAATAGAAATGGGACAAAACATCAATTTGTCAACTCATAAACCATTTTTCCTTTTTCTGCACCCAGTCTGGTCCTTAGCCACATGACACACAGAAGGGAAGGAGGAAGGGAGAAGAATGGTGATGACTGGAAAATATTATACACACGGTGGGAGTGGTTTAGACTACACATTTTAGCATTGTTGAAAATAGACCAGTTCACGGTTATAAAGGGGCCTTGAGAGTCATCGGTTCCTTGTCCATTTCACAGATGACAATACAATGAGAGGTACAAGGAGCCAGGGACCACTCCAAAGGTCATCTCATTAACTGCTCACTGGTGACAGAGCCAGGACCATGTGGAGCTGGGCTCTTTCTCACTCTATGCCCTGTCTCCTAACTCAAGGACTAAGCATAGTCCAAGTATTTACAAGGAATAATCACAGTGCTAGAGAGATTAGAAAATTAGATCTTGCTCACTGATATCAGAAGTAAAAATTACAGATATCTTACATATTGATTAAAGCAGCAAGAATTTTGTTTCCTATAAGAAAAATAATTGATGCATATATTTCAGCCTACATTGCTAAGATTAAGGATAATTTCCAAAATATGACTTTTATTTCCCTTTAGATACACAAGGTTTTTTAGTTTTGCTGTAATAGACTTAAATACATTCAAAAACAGGATATTCCCTCAAAAATGTCCTCACCTTTACCTGGTTTTAAAAATTCCACAGCTTAGTATTTCATCACTTAGATACAAGTATTTTTAATTTAAATATTATATTACTCCATCTCTGTCCATGCTCTCTACCTGCTTTCTCTAGAGTTTTTAGATCACTGTCAAGCTGTTCTTCAATGCAAGAGAGTTCTATTTCCCCCAAAATACTGAAGCTTAACCAACCAATATGTCTGAAAATGACTCAACACATAAGACATTCTACTTAAAACAGTGTTAAAAAAATATATAACCAGATGTTGTTGTACCTTTAGGTCTTTTAAGAGATTTGCTTATCTCCCAATTAAAATCTATTAAATCCTTTTTGGAGAGCAATATCTAAGAATTTTCCAGATACTACTGAATGTCATTCCATAGCAAAAAAAAAAAAAAAAAAGTAGACCAACAGTGAATCACTCAGAAAACATTCACAACAAAAATGGCTTTTTTTTTGGGGGGGGGGTGTGTCTTAGTCACATAATTTCATCTCCATTTTAATACAAGATCTTAATCTATAGCAGGTAGTGCTTCTGATTGAGGGAACATTGCCTCCTTGGTGTTCTGGTCAGTCACGTTCTGAGGAAGGCTTCCTCCAAAGATGCAGTGCTGCCTGAATTCTGAAGTGCAGTCTGGACTCTAGGGAATAGTCCTTGTAGTTGTTTCTGAAAACAGTAACAACAAAATTATACAGTCAAAACTTCTTTGTATCCCACCCCCAAGCACCACACCCCCTTCTCCCTCTCTAATCTCCTTATTCACTTTACAAATCTTAACATGCATTATCAGTGGATCTTAGGAAAATGCAGATTCTAGTTCAGTGGCGGGGGGGACACTAGACAGCAGTAGTCTGTATTTCTAGAAGCCTTTGGCAGTGTTCCAAATGTCATATATTGAGTTGCAAGGTTCTACTTAATCCCAAAGCCACGTACAAGCACAGCAAGGAGGTTATGAGGAGGTCCTAACAAACTTAATCCTTTGGGTTTCTTGCAATTGGAAAGTTTTAAGGAAGGCTCATAAAAACATGGTGAACACAGCCAATTAGTTAAAAAAAAATGCATTGGAAACTTAATGCAAAAACAGATGCATGAAAGAAAACAGAATTACTAAAGACACCAAATTACTCATTCCAATGCTTATACACCTATTAGAAAATATCAGAATGGACCACAGAAACCCAAGATTATAAGAATCCAACTTAGGGTATTAATGTTCACCTGATTAGAATCGTTAAGAATATGCAAAACAGAGTAGTATGTTGGCCCAGAGTGGCCCTATAACCTCGTTAGGCCTGGCATGCTTTTCTATAGCTGATCATCTACATCTTTCTAAGGGCTACTTACTGGTAACCAGGAAAATGTATTATTTGTAAACTATTGTCAACACCTTACTGGAGGTTACCAAAGAATGTAACTGAGTATTTTCTAAATGTCTAGCAATCAAAAGTGGCAAATCTGCAAAGCTCCCAGTATGAGAGTACTTCAAAAAGTTCATAGATAATGGAGATGAAAGATAAGCTTGAGTGCAAAACAAATAAAAAAGGAAAGAAATCTAGAAAAAAATGATTTTTTTTTTCAACAAAACCAAGGTTCATACAGGAGTGAGGAGTGGGGCAGGTGTTTGGCCTATGCTTTAACCATCTGTTGAGACATCTGTATTCCACATTACAGAGCTTGGGGATGCAAGGGCGGGCTCAAGTAATTGGGCCCTGACACTCACATGGAAGATCTGGATTGGACTTCCAGCTCCCAAGTTCAGCCTGACTCAATTCTAGCCATTGCAGGGAATTGGTAAGTGAACCAGTGTATGGGTGTGGAGCTTTCTTTCTCTCTCTCTCTCTCTCTCTCATATATTAAATAAGTAAATAGATAATTTTACAATTTTAATTTAAAATGCATATGAAATGATCATGAAGAGGTATCGGAATTATTTGCACCAATATAATCTTATATTTTCAGTTCAATTCTCCATGAACCCTTCGGAAGTTCTCTCATACCTAAAGAAAAGTTCAGATAGCTGACAGTCCTGGGAAAAGTATTTGCAAGACCAGCGCCCTCTTGACTTAGTGGTGATGTCTAGCTGTTGCTCAGCTGTAGACACTTGCCATTTACATTCATCATTATCAATTTGTCTTACTGTGCAATGCCTGGGAAGGACCTGAATTTGTCTATATAATGCATATATGGAACAGTAGCATTAATAGTGTATAACTTTCTAATAGCTTAATATGAAGGCATACAGATATTAAATACTAGTCATCCTCATACACATCTACTGACTCTATAAATCATGTTCTTACTTTTTTTTTTTTAATTTTAAGGATGCCCTTTGGACTTTACCATGCCCCTGAAGCTTCCCACTTTGCTCTATTTGCAGTAAACATATTCAAAGAGTCATCTAAAGTAGCTGACTCCATTTTGCCTTCTCAGCCCACTTGTCAAAATCCCTAGTGACTGGCTTGAGCAGGCACTTGTCCCAACTTGCTCAAGAGCAGCTGCCCTCCTAATTGACCTCTTTTCTTGATGAAACATTCCGTTCAGCTGCCTTTCTAGGTGACTTCCTAACTCACATGACCTCAGCAAGAGGATCTTAACATTCTTCATCTTTTTTTTTCTTTTTTATCTCAGCAAGGGCAGCATAACCCAGGCACTGTGTTAGACCTTCCACCAGCTATGTAACTTTCTCAAAACGATCTCAAGTCTCGCTGGCTCTAGTGCTGGTGACTGACGTTGATGTGTTAATTCCAAACCTTACCACTGAACTCCATGCACATATTTTTGACTGTTAACTTATTATCTTCACATAGGATACATACTAGATGTCTCAAAATATCATGGTCCAAAAGAAAATTTACTTTCTCTTCCTTAAATTATTATATTTTCTATGTCAGTAAAAAGCATGATCATCAACCTAGTGGTTAAACCCCATCACCTACAGATTCCCTAGTTCTGGCTTCTGGTGACTTCTGGTGGCTGTTTTTTCCAAAACTACCTTTATCTTTTAAGAATGTATTTATTACTTATTTTAAAGTCAGAGTTGAGCGACAGAAGACTCTGCTATGTGTGAGTTCACTTCCCAGGTGGCCAGAGTGGACCAGGGCTGGGTCAAGCTGAAGCCAGGAGCCAGAGCTTCATCTGGTCTCCCATATGGGTAGCATGGGTACAAACACTTGGACTATCCTCTGCTGCTTTTCCCAGGCCATTAGTTGGATCAGAATTGGAGCAGCGAGGGCACAAACCAGTACGTTACCCTCTGTGCCATATTTCCAGTCTCTCAAAACTAGCTTTAACTATGTACATCTCAACTACAGTGCCACCTCCTCTTGAAAATCATTCAGAACCAGTTATGCATCATATTGTAAATCTCAACAAAAACACAGAGCACTGAGATTTTTCTTGTTCAACATCTCCCTCCAGTTAAGACGGTAGACTCGCTGCCTGTTGAGACTGCAGGTGCCTCTCTACAACCTTGATTATCATATGGGACATAGCAGATATTCAGTGGGTACAAGAGGACTTCCCAAAGGTCATGGAAATTGTAATTAAAAGATACATTTATTTAAGTGAAACAAATGTGAAATCTAGGCACAGTTTTCCCATAACATACATTTCCATGAACTTTCTAAAGCCTCCTTATGTTTGCTGAACTAGAATGAGTGAAAAATATGGACAAACCACTGAACTATTTATAACTTAGTATTACTCGGGCATTCTTTCTCCACCAAATAAAGGCAAACAGATCACAGGGCCGTGTGTGTGTGTGTGTGTGTGTGTGAGTGTGTGTGTGTGTGTGTGTGTGTGTGTGTGTTTGTTTGTGTGTGTGTGTGCGTGCGTGCCTTAGCTAAGTGAAACTTTATCACCCATCTAAGAGCCATTATCTATCGGAAATAGCAAAAGTATTCTGAAGCCTTCAGACAGAAAGACAGGGAGAGACTCGGGGAAGGATCAAAAAGCACTATAAGGATCAGCGACCTTTCAAGGAAACAGATGTGGTTGAATATACGTGAGGTCAAGTTATGCCGCAAGGGCCAAATCTAGACCTGTCTATGCATATTCAAAGGCTGCTTTTGATGTCACTGAGCAGACCAAAGGAGATCTTACACTCTATCATTATTGATCATTATGTCAAACATTTGCTGAGTCCTCACATGGAACACCATGTGTTAGAAATCTTTCACATGGATGCCTACAATCACATTTGTCAATAATCACAGGGTGAGGCATTAAGAGGCTTGGAAATTTACTGCCAAAGTCAAAAGTATAAACCAAGAATAAGTATGCAAAAGTAACTAACTTGGCACCAATTTGGTCATTTAAAGTACATAATGTTTCTGTTGTTATAATGGTATCAACATTCCTGATGTCATGGCAACTGAGGAAAAGCTGCCTTTATTACTTACCTTGCATTTTCTAGAGCTTTTATGGCCTTGTCAATTTCCCCTTGGCTTTTATACAGAAATGCTGACTCAAACATAGTGAATGGCACCAGGTAGTGGTCATACTTCAGGAGTTTTTCACTAAAAGAAGCAAACAAAACATAATGAAGTCTTAACAGACTACAACATATGTCATTATTTTTGGCACATGTATCCTCCCCTATGCCTCAGAAAGCAGGTGCATCAGCCAGCCTGTTATCAGAGAAAAGCTGCCACTGTGCAGCCATGGAACCCAATAAACTAAACAGTGTTTTAATATATTCTAATGTTTCATCTTTAAGTATAAATCCAGCACTGCTGATTGTTTATTCTCACAAAAGTAGATGAATGTTAAGCTGTAAAGATGAACCCAGAGGGTGTGTGTTTGGCTAACAGGAAGATATTCACATTCTATATTGGAATATTGTGCTCAATAGTCATCTCCATTTTCTAACTCCAACTTCCTGCTAATACAGACCCTGGGGACAGGGATTATCCAACCATGATGGCTCAAGTAGCTGGGTTCCTGTTACCCATGTGAGAGACATTGACAGTTCTTGTCTCCCAGCTTAGTCCCAGGCCACTCTCAGCTGTTGGGAGCAATGAAAGGCGAAGCAGCAGATACAGCACTCTCCACGTTCCTCTTATCTCCCTCTGCCACTCAGCATGTCACAGCATTCTTGCATGAGGGTAGCAGGAACTCAAGACTTGAGCCATCATCGTTTCTCAGGTGCATCCACAGAGACCTGGACTGGAAGCAGAGTGGCTGTGAATTGGACCGGCATTCCAAATTATGAGATGCAGGCATCCTAAGCAGCGTACCCTGCTGTGCCACAATGCTCCCACCCCTAGTCACTCCATGGCTAGTACTCCCAGGTACCTAGGAGGCAGCATTACAACTCAAGAACTAGGGTGTCTGCCACTCACATGGGAGACCCCAATGCAGATCCAGGCTCCTGGCTTTGGCCTGCTGCAGCCCCAGTTATTGTGGGAATTTTGAGAGCAAACCTATGGTCAAAAATATCTGTATTTGTCTCTATCTCTGTCTGTCTCTCTTTAAAATCAAATGAAAAATATGAATTGTAAAAAAAAAAAAAAAAAGATTATCACTTCCAGAGTTTGGAAAATCAGTTTATGGTGGGACTATAAACTCAGCTTTCGTGGGATGTCCTTAAATAGTAAGTGGAAACACAGAGGGCTGTGTTTCACTCAGACCACACTCTAGTTCATGAAGAACAAAGGGAGCTAGCAGATCCTCTTTCTGGTAACAGCCAGGTCAAAGGTCAGCAGCAAGAAACAGAGACATTTTGCCTCCTCTTCTCACACTGTCCCCACTGTGCTCAGCTTGACTTTACAGCTCCCTCTTACCTTGCCAGGATGTGGTTGAAACACAGTTCCGCCTGCATAGGCCGCTGTAAGTTCTTGAGGCAGCATCCTTTCAGTAACTGCACCAAGCACTCATCGTCCACAGAGTATTCGCTGGCACCTTAAAAACACAACAGGAAAACTCTTTTAAAAATCCTAACGGAGAGGAGAAACTAGCATCCATGAGGTTTCACAGCAACCCCTGAAAAATAAGGAAACCACTTTGCGCATTTTTTCTGTCTCTGTACACAAAATACAATGCAAATATGTTGTTAAAAGGACACTGAATTCATCAGCTCATTTGTACACCAGTTTATTAAGGGGTTCGCTTTGCTCACTTAAAAAAGAATTTCAGGGGGTCACGCTCAGCTTTGTGAACTAAAACTCAGCAATGGGAAAGGAGAACTTAAATAAAGAGCTCTATTAATTCTATAAAAGATAAAGCCAGGAGGCATAAGGAGGCTGCCTCCTCCTGTTGTTTTGGCTCCTAACTATGTTGGCTTCAAAGCAGGCGAGGACAAGAGCTCCATATGGAGAAGCAGATGGCCTTGCACCCATTAAAAATTCAGAAAGTAAAATACCCTCTCCAGGTCATTATGTTTACAACTCATCAATTCTCCCAGGTTATGTTCTTTCGAGGGGGGAATTAAGTCATAAAATTAGACAAAATAGTCCTGAAACACATGAGAGGCCCTAAACCTGCCCTGCCCCCTCGCCACACTCTTCTAACTGCTGGAGGGTAATGGGAAGGATTTGCCTTCCTCACTTCCTGTCTTCTGAAAACAGTTCTTCACCTTTGACGGCCTGAGGCAAATGCAGATGAAACAGAAGGAGCCCCATCAGGAGAGGGACATCTCCCCGACAAAGGTAGCCACCCCACACTGGCCACTTTGCAATTTGTTTTGGCAAGACAGATGCACCTTAGACATCACTCCAAGACTGAATGATAATTTATGCATTCCAGGCTGGGAGGAAAGCACAGAGAATTCAGAGAGATCCCAGGAGTCCCTTGTGTTGAAATCTTCCTGCGTTCTCTACAGAACTGGAAGTCACTGTTGACACGTTCTGATGTTTCAGGTGTAAGTTGCTCATCAAGGAGATGAGAACAATGCTACTCAGCCAGCTGGGAGGCAGGGGCGATCATGTTCCTTATAGGCACTGAAAACAGTGTATATACATCTTTAAACTTTCAAGTTCTGATAAATCATTCATCCAGAATCACCTAATACCATCTCTATTATTTATGCAGGACTATTTTTCTGCACCACCCACACCCCTTTATCTGTGCTTGTCAGTGTGGATATTTGCTGAAATGCACATTCAAGAAGTATAGTCTTTCAGGGCCAAGATGGAAGCCTTTGAGGTCCATAATGGATGATAATTTTTCTTACCATTTTTCTGCATTCTACTGAGTTCTTGGTAGCATGCTATTGACAGTTTGTTATGACAACATTCTGCTGCTTACTGAATGATGATTTTAACGAGAAACAGACATAAAACCATGGAAAGTTAAATTACTAACAAAGCCAGATTTTTTTTTTTAGATTTATTTTGTATTCATTTGAAAGTCACAGTTATGGGGGGGAGGGAGGGGAGAAAGACGGAAAAAGACACAGAAAGAGAGATCTCTCTCTTCTTCTGGCTCATTCCTCAAATGGTCCAAACAGCCAGGGCTCCAGGAGCCATTAGCCAGACGCTTCTCCCAGGTCTCCCGTGTGAGATAGGGGCCTGAATATTCGGGCCATGCTCTGCTGCTTTCCCAGGTGCATTAGCAAGGAACTGGAATAGAAGGGGAGCATCTAGGATTTGAATCAGTATCTATATGGGACACTAGCACCACAAGCAGCAGCCGAATTGGTTAAACCAAAAGGCCAACCTCCACACTTAAATCTTACATAGACCTTGAGGTGGGATTGTGGCAAATAAGTTCAAAAGTGCTACATCCCCACAAAAGCCTTAGAAGCAAAACCATTACATTCTCAGGCCACAGAACACTGTCAGGTGACTATTCTCCCCTAAAATATGCAGGCTCTGTCATGATCCTCAGCCTCACAAATGAGTTCATGATGAACATCAGGACACGCGGTCTCCATCTCACATTAGAGGAAGACTGCATGGTGCAACTACTGAACTACATTTTCATCACAAAAGACCTGCTCAACTTGTTAATAAAACGATGGCTGGAGGAAAAAGAAATTTGATGCCCAAATTACAAACAATAACTTAACTCTTCAGATGCTAACTGGAATATAACAATAAAAAAAAAACAGAAAAAGAAGTTAGAAAGTTGGTAATATTTTCACTTTTATGTAACTTTAATTAGCCTATCTAACTTAAGAAAATTTATTCTAAGTGGGGCTGGCATGATGGCTCAATTGGCTAATCCTCCACCTGTAAGAACTGACAGCCCATATAGGCACCAGTTCACATCCTGGCTGCTCCACTTCCCATCCAATTCCTTCTTATGGCCTGGGAAAGCAATAGAGGATGTCTTAAAGTCTCGGAACCCTGAACCCATGTGGGAGACTTGGAAGAAGCTCCTGGCTCCTGGCCTCAGATTGACTCATCTTTCAGCCATTGTGGCCACTTGGCGAGTGAACCAGCAGACAGATCTTTCTATCTCTCCTTCTCTTTGTAAATCTGCCTTTCCAATAAAATATACAAATCTTTAGAAAAAAATCTGTTGCAAGGAACAAATGGAATTGCTGAGGAAATGTCTGCCTGCACACTGAATTATGCTACATTTCAAAAGAAACATTATTAGAATTAATACTTCTGAGTTCTGCCTTTCGAATCAGTGACTGGTCTTCAATAATCAGGGCCAGAGTGCTGCCACCATGGAAGACCAGTTATATGCTCGACCATCTTTCAACTTACACACATTTGCCAAGGCTGGAAGAACATTCAATTTTCAGTTTTGGGAGTGGAAGTGATGTAATCACTCCAAGTTCCAACTATGGATTTGTTTTGCCCTTTCTGAAGGACCACACCAAAAGACTCTAGTTGTTCAGGTGGGAATGGCAAGGGAAAGAAGTTTCTTTATAAAATATAAGTCCTGAGCCTGGTGTGGTAGCCTAGCAGCTGAAGTACTTGCCTTGCATGTGTCAGGATCCCATATTGGCACCGGTTCTAATCATGGCAGCCCCACTTCTCATCTAGCTCCCTGCTTGTGGCCTGGGAAAGCAGTTGAAGATGGCCCAAGGTCTTAGGACCCTGTACCCGTGTGGGAGCCATGGAAGAGGCTCTTGGTTCCTGGCTTTGGACTGGCTCATCACCATCTGTTGTGGCTACTTGTGGAGTGAACCAACAGATGGAAGATCTTCCTCTCTGTATATCTGCCTTTCCAATAAAAATAAAATAAATCTTAAAAAAAAAAAAAGAAAGAAAGCAATTCTTCCACCCAGAAGGAGAACCTGTAAAGGCAGGGGTCTGAGTCTGGGGTGTCCGTCTGTCCGTCTGCTCAATGTGTCCGGTCCGTGTTCAGGATCTCCAGAAGTTACCATGGAAGCCGCTCCTTGATGGTTTTCTGAACAACAGTGGCATTTGACAGGCATGGTTTGACAAATACGCAACCACTTTTGTCTTTGAACAATAGAGGACCATTTTAAATTGAAGTGTAAAGGCGGGCTTGCACAAAAGAAAACCCAATGGTGCTTCCTGCAGGTTGTACAATTTGGGGATACACAAAAGGCCTGGTTCCCCTTTTGATCCAGCTTACTGCTGATGTGCACCCTGGGAGGGAGCAGGTGGTGGCTCAAGCACTTGGGTCCCTGTCACCCACGGGGGAGATCTGGCCCGAGTTCCAGGCTGCTAGCTTCAGCCTGGCTCAGCTCTAGCTCTGATAGACATTTTGGCGAATCATTCAGTAGATGGAAGATCTCAGTCTCTCTGCCATTCAAAGAAACTGAAAATAAATTAAAATTTTAAAGGTAAGCTTTGTTTGTGGGTTTTTAGTACAAATAAAAATGAAGAAAAGTAACAAAAAGGGTAAAATTGTTAAAGACGAAATGATTTTACAAAAATGTCATTAGAGCTCTAACCTGCTAAATCTGGAAGCTGTAGAGGAACATGCAGAAATCCGAAATGTTCACAGAGCACATCTGCTTCTGCACTTAAACACATGTCCCTGGGTCCTCAGTGGAGCAGGACAAACTTCCAACTCCTCTTTCCTTCAATATTATTTCTCTCTTAAGAAACAGAGAATTCCCATCTGCTAACTCACTCTGCAAATGCATGAAGGCCAAGCGCTGGGAACTCGGTCCAGATCTCCCACATGGCTGGTAGGGACCCACGTCCTGCAGCCATTACCTGCAGCCTCCTGGGGCGTTATTTACCAAGAAGATGAAATGGAGGGCAGAGCCAGGACATGAGCCTGGGGCCGCTGAGATGGGATGTGGGCATCCCAACAGGCAGCTCAACCGCTCAGCTCCAAGTGCCATTCTACCTCCAACTCCTCTTTTTCAGCCCAGTATTGCAACCTTCTAATCTGCTTATTTCCCCCAGCTTCCAGAATTCCAAGGGAATCCTCAGTCCATGATGATGAACATTTCCAATATTTTGGGTCTCTGACCTAAGCTCCAGCTCAATGAGGGGCTGATGTCTTCTAACTTTGCTGCTGTAGCAGGGAGAGCGAGCAGAAAGAGAATGAATGCCTTGGTTCTTTATAGGAGAGCAGCATGCTTGTCCATAGAGGAGCAGAATATTCCCTTGCCCTCTCTCCCTGTGACTGCCCCCCCACCCCCGTATTTGTAAGATGGTTCCTGTGGGCTGGGGGCTGCAGAAGAGAGGCTGTCATCAGAACGGCACCCTTCTCTGGGTTCTACAGACTCTGTTTCTATCAAGCCTGAAACCTTGGCCTCATGAACAGGTCATTTCACTGACCCAGCTTTCATCCTTTCCCATTTCTTCTCCAATAGCTGGAATTTTAAAGCCCCAATTATTTTGAATAGGGATAATAGCAGCTTCAATGCCCAACAATACTGAAACAGTGAATTAAATTTGACACATTAACTCTAAGAGGTGCTATGAATCAGAAGACTTTAACATTTACAATGGCTATTATTTAACAACATTCAAAACCTTTCATAATCTACTAAATGAAAAAAAGACTAGTAAATATATTGGTTAACTATGCTGTAACTATAAAAAGAATAATCCTGGGGTGGAATACATTAAAAACTCTGTAATTGTGTCACAGTAGCAAAAATGTGTGTGATCACTTTTCAACCTACACTAAGAATTGTAATGCTGTGTTTGGAAAAAATAACTAAACAGAAATCTCATCAACACTGTAGCTTGATAACGAAGCTGCAGATAAGGGAAGTGCTTACCGTTGCAGCCATAGCCAACCATTGGATCCCCACTGTGGACAGGACACTGAATATGCAGCCTGAGCGTGTGTGTGCTCATTGTGTGCTAGTTAACAGGGATTGAGTGAACTTACATTCCTTGAGCAGCATTTCTGAGTTTCCACATCCCTTGTTCTACCTGGCATGGGAGGAGTTTTCGCCTTCCTTCTCTGAATTGGACATCCCAAAAGGTAAAATCATTATCTTGGGCTAATACCTAATTGACTTGATATTGATAAGGAATAGGACAAAGGCTATCAAAACAGCTGGATATCTCTGCTACAGCACTGAACGTTTCTAAGGAAAACTGAGTGCAGGCCTTTGGCCAAACAGTGAAGAGGCCCACTTTGCCCTGTGGAGGACCTGCACTGCATTCCCAGCCCTGGCTCCTGACTCCACAGCAGCAGGTGAAAAAACTACCTGTGTCTGCAGGAGAGCTATAAGGGTATAACGACAAAGTCATAGCAAACTAAAACCAGAAGAAAGATCATTCTGTTCTGTTAATCAAAAAAATCCAATGCAGGCACACAATGCAATGATTTTCAATTTCAGAGTTCCGCAACCATCGTCACAATCAATTTTAGAACATTCTTCCATCTTCTCCAACCAAACTGTGGTATTCTTAAGCCATCACACACACCCCTGCCACCTGGCAACCACTATGTACTCAGCACACTGATGGATTTTCCCTGTGCTGAGTGCATCACAGAAATAGAATCGTGTCTGTGACCAGCCCAAGGTTTACAATGTCCACACCCAAGGAAGGCTTTGTAACTCCTCACCGCTTGTTCACAGTAATCGCCCAGATACTGCCAAGCATGTTTTTTATCTCTAGGATGCCCACAAATCAACATGGGCAGGTGCACACAGGGAGAAGCCCGGAGAGAGGAAACAGAACAAGACAAGGATATTACCAGGCACCTGATTCTCACACTCACTTTCTTTTTGAAGAGCCGCCTCGGCCTTTTCGACAGTTATCAGCAGATTCTCGGAAAGGTCTTTTCTTTTGCCCACGATTGAAAACCCATTCCAGACATACATCATCTCCTAATAGAGAAGAATGAAAAACCATTCACAAGTCTGTGAGGTCGTTCAATGTCTTAGGACCACAAAACCATGTATGTGTGTTTTGCCCCAGTTACCAGGGATCTCAAGACAACACTTAGAGGTCCTTTTCCCTGATGTTCTTCATTTGGACTTTAGCAACACAGTTCCCCTTTGTCTCACTTTACTTTGCGTCTTACACCATGAAGTCATTCAGGACACACAGCATGTTAGGTTTTAACTGAAGAACTCATGCATTTGTTCATTTAACAAATAGTTCTTAAGAATCTACTGCTGTTCAATTCTTTTGGAAGACAGACTACAGATACATAAATAAATATTTTAAACTGGTACTAGGAATAAATCTGTTTAATGTAAAATTATGATGTTACTTTTAAGTAAAGGGAAATATTTTAAAATTCCTGCCAGTTATTTACATAAAATGCTTCCAAGAATATTACTGGAAATGAACATTGGAATAGCTTACTGGGCTCAGGTTCTTTTATACCATTAAAAACATGTGTCAGTCCAGTAATGTAATCCAATATGCAGAAAACACATTCGCTGCAAGGCCATATGGCTGAATGACAGCTCCTGAAAATGTAAACTAATGATTTCTCATTGCAGATTATATTTAATGGGCTAACAGATGAGAATTTTTTTCTTTTGGACCAAAAGCAAATGTGTTTTTGCTTGAAAATATTTTTCTAATGTTCCTGATAGTACAGTTCATATTTGGAAGGATATGAGATTTGAAGGGTGTTTACTATCTTCTTGGAAATAAATGAATTTTTAAAAACAGATGAAGATATTTCTTGAAAAACCATGTAACAGGGAAGCAGTGGAAATGTGGAGGACAAGTTTAGGTAGCGTAACAGTAAATGACCTTCATGGCACTGAAAACCAGAATCACGGAACTCGGCCTTTCATTTTAGCTGCTATTTTATCACTAAAGAGTAATAGCTCAATTCAGTAACTGATGGGGTATTTTTAATTGATTGGTTCTAAAAATACTACATATATACAAACATACTACATACATACACCATCAAAGTCCATTTTCCATTTATTCAACACCTATTCACCTAAACAAGGACAGAGAATGAACTTCCCTTAGGACACTTAACTGTCAAAGCATGAGTTATGCCCTCACTGGTACGGAGGTTAGGGCAGAGAAAGAACTCAGGGGAGTTATGTTGAGTCAGAGGGAAAGTCATCCCAGTACAAATCACTTGACAAAAGTTGAGGAGTGGAACCAAAACAGCAACGTGTAAGGCAGCAGCAGGTTCACACGTTAGCCAGGAGAGGGGCTGTGTGATCATTCCTGTAATCCAGTGTCTGGGCCCTAAAACTAGTGCTGAACTGAGACTAGTCTGAAACTAGTGCTGTCTGGGGTCATTTGGGACAAGTAGGGAACACCTGGGCCCAGGTGCGGGTTGCATCTTCACTCCTAACACCTGTCAAGGACTACGGTTTTTTGGTTTTGTTTTGTTTTTTCCCTTCTTTCTTATTGAATATATAAGGACTTGCTGTAAGTCAAAAGGCAATAGAAAACACATACAACCCATTTTAATTACTTATTATTATTTTTTTAACTCTATCTGCCATTTCACTCCCCAAATGGCCACAATGGTTGGAGCCAACCAGATCTGAAGCCAGGAACCTCTTCCAGATCTCCCACATGGATGTTCAGGGTCCAAAGGATTTGAGCCTCTCTGTAGCTTTCCCAGGCCATAGGCAGGGAGCAGGATGGAAAATGGAGCAGCTGGGACATAAACCGGTGCCAACATGGGATCCCAGTGCTTGGAGGTAGAGGATTAGCTGACTGAACCATCGTGCTGGGCCCAACACACAACTCATTTTAAAGTTAAGAGGTGGGATGAATGATTCACGAAAGAATTTTTAAAATGAGTAAATACACCAACAAGGAAATGCAAATTGAAATAGTAAAGTACTGTTGGTAAAAAATGACACCAGTATAGCTTTTTTCAATGAAAAATTCACAAGTCTGATGAAAATACTAAATGTATATACCTTTCAATCATGAATTTCACTTCCAAAAATCCTTCCCAGAGAGTTAAATTCATATGTTAAAAAATCTCTTCATTAAAGATTTATTTTATCTTTTTTTATTGGAAAGGCAGATATACAGAGAGGAGAGACAGAGAGGAAGATCTTCCGTCTGATGATTCACTCCCCAGGTGGCCACAACAGCTGGAGCTGAGCCAATCTGAAGTCAGGAGCCTCTTCTGGGTCTCCCACGCGGGTGCAGGGTCCCAAAGCTTTGGGCCGTCCTCGACTGCTCTCCTGGGCCACAGGCAGGGAGCTGGATGGGAAGAGGGGCTGCCGGGATTAGAACCGGTGCCCATCTGGGATCCCGGGCGTTCAAGGTGAGGACCTTAACCACTGCGCCATCGCGCCGGACCCTATGCTTACTTTCAATGTCAAAATTTAAAGCCCCAACAGAGCTACATAAGCTGATATATTCAGGATTTCTGTACAAAGCCTTATTAAGACAGTTAAAGCCGAAACTCCCTCTTTCTCAGAAGCCTCAGTTAAATGATATAATGTTCAAAGTGTGAACTTAAACTGGAATACAGCAGGCCCTGGCTACCTGTGACTCCTGAGTGCTGAAAACAGGATCAGCCCTTATCAAGGTGCCCTGGAAACATGAAAAAAACCACTAGTTTTCCAACAATTAGCACCATAAACAGATTGCTGGGTCCAGTGCTGTGGCAAACCAGCTCCCTGCTACTAAGTCTAAGAAGGCAGTGGAAGGTGGCCTGAGTGCTTGGGAGACCCGGCAGGGGCTGCTGGCCCCAGCTTTGACATGCTCAGCCCCAAGCTCTGGTCTTTTGGGGAGTGAACCAGCAGATAGAAGGTCTCGCCCTCTCTCCTTCTCTTTCAGTAACTCCTTCAAATAAATAACAGTTTTTTAAAAATTTTTAAAGGGAATGCTAAACAGTTCATGCATAAAATTTTATGTTGTATGTTGAAATGACAAAATTTTTGTGGAATGGATTAAAGCATATTCTTAAAATTAATTTGTTCTCTTTTGTTTTGTTAATATGGCTAACTGAAAAGGTAAAATTACACACACGGCTTATATTAGAATCCAAGTCCAGTGAGATGCAATCAATTTTACCTCTTTGCCTCCATTTCCTGATCTGCAAAAGTGTCCTCATCTAATTAGCCTGACAAGACCAACTACACGCAGGGTTCTTGCATGAGTCAAACAATATATATATATTTTTCAAACACTGTACTTTTAAACAGCCCTTATACTAACACCTGGGACACACAAACTAGTCCAAAAACATCAGCTATGATCTGTGACCATTTGTTAATTTATAAACATTCACTTTAGAAAACATAATGGTTTTGAACGATGTTAAACTCTATAAGCAAAGTTAAATATGGTTCCTGCTGCTGTGCAGATACAATTGATTTCTGGAAAGTAAATGAAATGAAAGCAGATACCAGGGCAGGCAAGACCAGCTTCACAGGTGCAGGCAGGGACGGGGAGTAACGCCGAGCCTTCCTCACAGCGAACTTCTCAGTGGGCAGAGACTTCCCAGCAATTCTCTGCTTCAGGCCTTCCACCTGCCTGGGAAGAACCCCAGCCCCGAGAAGCGGTGTTAGAAACCCTGCTTGTTAAGCCTGTGGTTGTTAGGCCAGGCCCTCCCTGCTCATCAGCAGCACCTAGAACCTGCTGAAAATGTGAATATCCAGGCCCTTCCTCGGGGATCAGGCAGTCCGAGGGTGGAGCCCAGCCAAGTGGGAAGGATAAGCCTTGTGGATGTCTGTGATCCCGCTCAAGCCTGGGAACCACTGATGGACACATACGCCTTTCCATGGTACTCAGCTAATGGCGTCAATCTACCAAACGCAGCCCAGTCAATCCAGGCAATTGTCCAGTGTATCTGTTTACCTTGCGAGTATCCAGACAGAAGATGAGCAGAGGGCACACAGTTACATCTCCTGTTCCTGTTTGCATGCATGGCATGGACTCATTAAATAACAGGGCTCAAAATTAACAACAGGGTTGAGAAAACATTTCCCAAACACAGGTGAGTTTGGAAAGGATTCAGCTGATGACAAGCACTGCTGTGTTCACAAACTTCCTGTCGGAGCTCAGCAATTCCAACTATGGAATTCGCAGACACACAAAACTGAGGCAAGGAAGGAGAGAGAGGCTACATGCTCCTAGTCCCTTCCTGAGGAGTAATTTTATAAACGCAACAACACGTTGCTAAGAAAAAGCTTTGAGGAAATATCCACTTGCATCACTGACAGAAAGAATAATTTAAAAGAAAATAAAACACCACAAAGATAAAGCTAATGCTGGATTATTTCCTGTCATGGTTGGTGTTCTCCCAAAATCCATGTGCTGAAACCCAAATCTATGTGATGGCAGCAGGAAGCAGAGCCACTGGGAGGTAGTAATTGGGTCATGAGAGGGGACTGTCATGGACAGGATTAGTGACCCTTTGAAGAGAGCCTGCTCCTTCTTTCTCTGTTCTCCACCAAGCGTGGAAACAAGAGACCAGCCATCTGTAAACCAAGTGGGTCCTCACACAGGCACCTTGATCTGTGACTTCCCAGACTGCAGGTCAGTGAAAAACACATTTCTGCTCTTTAAGCCCCGGAGTCTGCAGCCTGAACTAAGACAGTTCTTGACATTTCTGTTACTACGCACTAGCTAACATATAATATGTATGTATAAAATGACCAGAGCAGCGGCATAACAAGCTAAAATGCCCCTGCAACTCTGGCATCCCACATGGGCACCAGCTCATATGACCACTTTCAGTCCAGCTCCATGCTAATGATCTGGGAAAGCGACAAAGGACAACACAAGTGCTTGGGTTCCTACCACCACACAGGAGACTGGAGGCTGCTGGCTTCAGCTGTTGCATTTGAGCAATGAAACAGAGGTGAATTCTCTCTCATCCCTTCCTCCCTTCCTGTTACTCTTTCTAATGTATAAATCTTTTTTTTTTCAAGATTTATTTATTTTTCTTGGAAAGGCAGATATACAGAGAGGAGGAGAGACAGTGAGAAAGATATTCCGTCCCATGATTCACTCCCCAAGTGAGCACAACAGCTGATGCTATGCCAATCCAAAGCCAGGAGCCAGGAACTTCTTCCAGGTCTCCCACACAGTGTAGAATCCCAAGGCTTTGGGCTGTCCTTGACTGCTTTCCCAGGCCAAAGGAGAGAGCTGGATGGGAAGTGGAGCTGCTGGGATTAGAACCAGCGCCCATATAGGATCTTGGCACGTTCAAGGTAAGGACGTTAGCCACTAGGCCATGCCACTGGGCCCTAAATCTTTTTTTTTAAATAGTGTTAAACAGGTTACTTCACAAGACAGTTTGTCAGAATCCTGGACATAGTATTAATAGCCAAGTAAACATTATACTGTTATATTATTTATATTGAGCAGATCACAAATTGCCCTTAAATCACATAAATAGCATACTTTAGTAATCTTACATGCTTAGAAACTGTGTTCAAAGCGTGGTAGTAAAGCCCTAAAAACACAAACTTTCTTCAAGACATAAATAAAACTATGTGTTCTCAAATCCCCCAGTCATATGAACACGCAAACTCTCCTAGAAAGATGACAGACTGACCCTGAACGCATTGAGCACCCACATGGAATAAGGAGCAGAGCTAAAGAAATACCAAACAAAGCACAGGACAACACTAAGTGATAACGCAGGAAAACAATGAGTTGGTGTTCCTTTTTGAGTCAGGGTCTTTGCTAGAGGGACTATGTCTCACCTGAACAAAGCCACCACATTCTCATTAGTGGTCACTACATCTTCCTCTGGAAGCATGCTCAAAATTGCTGCTTTCAGGAACACATACGTTGCCTTTAGAAAAAGAAGAAAAGACACTTGATATAGAATGTCCCTTAACAAACATTAAATGATCTACAAATCTTCCAGATATATAATCAACAGGCATCAAAGAAATCAAGGGAAATGAAGTCTTAGATTGCCTATTCTAAATGAGACCATCAGTCCACAACTAATTTTGATTATTTTCCTAATATACAACTATGTCATTCATGACTGAAAATGTAACATACTGAATCAAAGATCATTATTTTATTCAGTCCAACTTCTCACAAATGACTCCAAACTACTTTTGATGACCACAGAAATACCAGTCAGCAGGAGTATTGGAAAGTACACAAAAAAATGATCCAAACAACAGTATTATATAATTAATTGTTCATACATGTACATAGTTACACATGTGGTTTATCTTTGCAGTTAAAGCTTCCTTGTTGAAAAAAACTCTTTGGATAATTCTTTTTTTAAAAAGATTTCTTTTTTTCTATTGCAAAGTCAGATATACAGAGAGGAGGAGAGACAGAGAAGAAGATCCTCCGTCCAATGATTCACTTCCCAAGCAACCACAATGGCCGGTGCTGCTGATCCGAAGCCAGGAGCCAGGAACTTCCTCCAGGTCTCCCACATGGGCAAAGGGTCCCCAGGCTTTGGGTTGTCCTTGACTGCTTTCCCAGGCCACAAGCAGGGAGCTGGATGGGAAGTGGAGCCGCCCGGATTAGAACTGGCACCCACATGGGATCCCAGTGCGCCCAAGGCAAGGACTCCAGCCGCTAGGCCACCACACTGCAACCTGGACAGTTCTTAAAGCATACAATCCTGAGAAACATGTCTACAAGCACATCTGATGCAACTTTCTTCCCTTTGGGGATCTCTGCCTTGAGAAACAGTGTGAAAGGGATGCTACTGAAAAACCAGTCCACACGCAAACCACACTGGCCATCAGGAGATAGGCAGATGACCTTGTTGAAAGTATTGCATTTACCTTGGACCATTTACTCTCTTTGCAAAGCAGGTCTGAATAGTAATATGCCTGCATCCAGTTTTGTAGAAATACATTAATCCACATCAGCTCCCAGTAACAGAGATGGTGAAACTGTTTCCACTCTTCTTGAACTGAAATGCATTTTCGAAATATCTCTTCTGCCTATAAGTCAATTGCATAAAGCTGATCATCCAGATATTAGACAAGGAGATAATAACCTAATGAAAAAATACATAAAATACTTTGTACTCAAAGAATAAAATTATCTTATTAAATCATTCAATATGACAACATGTTCCTTTCCTTAGATGCAATGATACAACCAAGAGCTGCCTCTTTATTTAACTTTGTGGGGCATCCTTGGTACTTCCTAATGTGGGAGGGGGCAGTTCTCTCCAAGTAAGCTGTGAGTCCTTAAAGCAAAAGCTGACAATAATAACGTCCTAAATAACACTGGGAAAAAAAACTTGAAGATATAAGCACTGGACAGACTAGAAAAAAAATACCGCAACCTACCCAATTGATATCAGATTAACTAACCCTTCATCATACATTTATAAAAGCCTTTTAAATAACCTAAGCAGTAAAATTGATAAAATATATATATATATTTATATTTATATATCTGGCAAGAAAAGGAACAAATATATAAATGACAAGTATAAATACGAAAAATTTGTTAACTGTTCAATTTTAAAATTAAACAGTCATTTTTCAGCCAACCATAATATCCAGATTTGGCCAACAGAATTAGGAAAAAATAGTCTCACATCTTCACGGAATTTAAGTTGGGACACTCTGAAGTAAGGACAGCGACCTGGCTTGGATTGATTAATAGGCAAACATCTTTTGAGCCAGAAATTCAAATGGTCAGAATTTGTTACATATAGCAATACACCTTTGCACTACACACACTGATGCTTACAAAAGCACTGTTTCTATAGGGGCCTGGACCAACAGTGGACTTCTTTAATAAGTAGACTATATTTGTCCCATAAAACAAAATCCAGTCATAAAAAAAAAATAATGAAAAAACTTAAACATACTGACCTGGAGAGAGAGAGAGATCCAAGATGTATTGAAAACAGAAAAAAAAAAAAATTGCAGAAAAACATGTGGTTTCTTTTTTTTTTTTTTCATTTGTGTGGAAGGAAATTGTGACTATAGTTACAACAGAAGATACCTCCTTTGTCTTCTACTTCATGGAAGTAGAACTTAATAATCTGCTTTCATGTGGCACCCATGGGGAATACAGTGGGGCTGCATCTCCTATAGGTCTAGATTCCAAAATCAATGTGGAAAGCAGAAATCGATAGGATAAAGTTTTCTGAAAATTCCTTGCATAGCGCACACTATTAGTTTGGATATTCAACCCTGACTTGCCTCATATACTTTATATGTTATGTGCAGATAACATTCAGTATTCTATGCAAATTAAAAAGTTGACTTTCTAAACACACTACTTTCCACTTTGGTTTAGTCCATGTAGCTGAATTTATGTGTGTCAAAGGAGCGTGTGGCTCACGCCCAGCACACAGCTAAGTCCCCACCCCCGCACTGCCAACGGACACATTACCTCTTCAACATTCCCCTTCAGCAGCTCAATTCGGGCATGATAAAACAACATGAGTGAGCCCTGTGGAGAAAGGAAAAAGACACGCTGCTCAGCATCCGCGCGGGCCGAGTGGCTGCGGCTGAAACGTACGCTCGGAACGCGAGGCATACATCTGGAAACTGCTTCAGGAAGGGTGCAAGGAGACGCTCTGCTTCCACAACATTCACCTCTCCTGTACCTGGAAATGAAGAGCAAGCGCCTCAGTCCTCTTGCTCATGAGGCATCCTCACAGCTAACACTTCAGAGGGCACTGGCATCTCGCTCAAACCTGCCCACACAAGAGATGAGAACTAACACTACTCTTTTTCACAGCTGAGAAATAAAGGCAAATCTCACCTACGACTTCAGGGCTTTTCCAGAAAGCTCTAGGACAGACAAATGCTGAAGGATGCAGGTAGCTGCCCTAGCTTTCTAATGGGATTTTTTCGTTTTAACAACAAAATTGACTTCCATTGCCAAAAATTTAATTTACAGTAAAAGAGGAAGTCTAACTTGAATGTCAATTGTTTTACAGAAATTTCAGTTGAATGCAAATTAAAAGGTACCTAATGACAGGAACTATGTCAAATGACCTTATGGTAAGTGTGATTTTTTTTTTAATTCCCCCTGGTTTGGGTGAAGGAAAACCAACTTCCCATGAAGTGTAAAACAATGCAGATCTTACCGAGTATGAGGGAGATGTAAGTATGGAAAGCAAGGATGGTCAGGCAGCAGAGTGGGGACCGCATGCTTCCTCCTGAGGCACCTTCCCTTAGCTGCAGGAGGCCCAACTCCTGTGGGAATTCAGCGCATTTTAGGGAGAGGGCAAGGCCAAAAAGAATCTTGAACATGCTAATCCACATATCACCCTCCAGAAGGTGGGTTTATTGTAAGAGGTTACAATAAAACTAATGCCTAACTAGAAACAAAGTTCATATTTTTAACAAGTTTACTTTTATTTCTCTCAAAAGCAGAGAGAGAAAGAGAGAAAGAAGAGAGAGATAGGAAATATTTCATCTGGAACTCCATTCTACTACATCCAGGTGTGAGCCCAAGCTCCCTCGAGTTTTCCCTTATGATTGACAGGGACTCAAGTACTTGAACTATCATGTGTTGCCTCCCAGAATGCATAATCAGGAAACTGGATCACAGGCAGAGTGACAGAGCTCAACCCAGACATTCTGATACGGGCAGTGAGTATCCCAGGGAGCAGTTTAACCCTCCATGCCACAACACCTACCCCTCAAAACTTTACTGTGTAACGGATACAAGACAGTCTCACAAATCCCCTTCTATCATGTGACTCCAGGGGAGAGAACAAGGCAGTGCTCATCTCACAGAACTGCTGTATTTCTTTGATAAAAATGTTCAGTCATGGGGGAAGGTAAGAAGGCGGAACAGAGTGAGGACACATAAAGTGGCTGGAGGATTAGTGGAGGAGAAGCAAGAGGGTGCGAGCCCAGGAAATACAAGCCAGCAGGTCCACAGCGGAGGGGCAGAGGGACCTTTAAGGACCCTAGCTGAGGCTCAGCGAAGCAGCAGACAGCGGAGCCGCAACAGACACTCCAGTGGCAATCAGAGCTCCAGCTGGGGACAGGCGGGAAGGGAGCTCATTGGGAACACAAAAGGTGAAACAAACCATAGACTTGTGGGTCCTGGTGGCCGTTTTAATGTGCTCATAAGCCACAACAGAACAGCAGAGCCCTTGCAAACGGGTGTGGGAGAGGGGTGAAGTCTACAACCAAGCCTCCCAAAAAAACACCATGAGTACCACATCGGGTGTCATTTTGAATACTGTGACAAAGCCCCCCTCCCCCTAGGAGGGGGCTGTCAGATAACAGCAAGCTGTGCATGTGCTAAGCCTGGAAAAACACATATCCAGCTCAATGCATTACACTGGCGCCATTGGGAAAATAATACTAACTTGGCATCCCATGAGTTCTATCCAAAAAAGGGTCCAGGCTGACCCCAGAACTAGCTTCCAGCAAGTTCTGGCAAGAAGCAGAAAAAAAACTGATAATTCATGCGCGTAATTCATGCGCTGCTATCAGCGATGGGTGCCACTGACAGCACCGTGACCCAGTTTCAAGTCACATCTGGATTCTTCCTAGTCCCGGGTGCTACTGGAACTATAAATGGGAGAAAGGTTGAGCAGACAATGGTGCAGCCACAACACAGAATCACAGGGGGCAGAATGAGATGACCCACTGCCCTGGCTGCAGAGGCCACGGCAGGAGCACAGCTCAATTACCCAGAACTGAAACTCTAGCGGGAGTGGTGCAAGCAGCACAAACAAGAACCAGCGCTGAATGGGATCAGTAAAGCTGATCAGTGGACCTGTGGATGACACAGCTTAAAAATCAGTCCTGAGCAGAAGAGTCCAATCATCACAAATGAAATTGCCAAGGGCAAATAATGAGGTATATATAGCACAAAAAATGCATCTATGCATCCCCTACAAAGGATCAAAAGCATATCTCAATCTCAGAATTAACTAAGATATTGAGGAGCTGCCAAAGAATTTTTTTAAAAAATCATTAAAAGGCTCCCTAAAAACACCCAGAAGCAGATGCAGCAGTTCAAGGAATGTGTTACACAGGAAATAGCAGCGTGGAAACAGAGTCAAATCAAAATGAAGAGTTCAATAGTCCAAATTAAAATTCAATGGAAGTCTCAACTATTATTAAGAAAGAATTTCACAACTGGAAGACACTTCCTGCAAAAATGCTGAAACAGAGAGAAGAGTCTGAAGAGAAAAGGAGTCAAGTTAAGAAAATCCCACAGAATTAATCGACACCATCAAAAGACCAAATCTAAGGGTACTGGGAGTACCCGTAGGTACAGAAAGAGAAGTTCGTGACAAAAATGTACTCAATGAAATAATACATGAGATCTTCCCTGACAGGAACGAAGAAACGGAAAACCAAATACAGGAAGGGCAGAGAACCCCACATAGACTCGACCAGAAGTAATCCTCGCCACAACAAACCATAACCAAGCTCTCTTGGAAACAATAGAGATACCCACTGAAAGAGGAATGGATAAAGCAGCTGTGGCATAGCTAATCTGTGGAATACTACATAGCTGTTAAAACGGACGAAATCCTACCACTTGCAACAAAATGGTCCCATCTGGAGTCCATTAGGCTCAATGAAATAAGCCAATCCCCTGGGATACAGCCTATGTTCTCTGAGATAAGGCAACACTTATGCAAAATACAAAAGAAATATTTGTAAACAAGTATATACATATATTCTCCTTGCCTAGGGGCCATGCTAATCTGCTCTGTATTGTTCTAATCTTAACACACAGGCTGCTGAAGTGAGCACCACATATATTCTCACAGATGAAGTGTACATTGGAGACTAGCATGCCAGGAAGTGAAGATATGTCACAGTAGTCAACTCTACTCCCTAATGAAAGGAGGACTCCCAGTGAAATAGTTAAATATGCCTTGATAATATGACACTAGATTTTCTGTCTTTGTATGTTCTTACAATGCCATGGTGTAGTTAAACAGCATAATGTTAAACTTGTAACTGTTACTAAAGCACTATACTACTGTAATAATATAGGCAAAAATGGTGGTGGAAGCGGGGAGAAAGTGGGAGGAGAAAGGAAAAGGCAAGGGAAGAATCCCTATACCTACACAAATGTATCATGAAAATAACAAAAATAATTTTTAAAATATTCATTCATTGAAACATACTGAAGATCTACATGGGAGGCACTACGGTAGGTGTGAAAAAATACAGTTCTGTATCATCAAAAATCTTAGGACTAAACAGAGAATCTATTCCATGAATACAGAATCTTCTTAAAATATGGTGTGTGCCATAGGAAAGGTAAATAAATGACTGGAAGCTAAGAATGCTTCTGACTTGCTAGAGGAGTACCAGAAAGTGCCCTGTGGAGTAAAAGGCTTTTTTGTATCATACCTGATGGATGGAAAGGCTCTTGAGGGAGCATGGATTGGGAGGAGGCTGGTTGGGGAAGATATCTAAAATTGAGACCAGGATCTGCTTGAAGAACAAACTAAACTCCAGTTTATCAGTTTTGAGAAATGTAAAAACTGTGGGAAGTCAGGTACCAAACAATGGTTACAATCAGATCCTGGCTGCAGCTACTGAATCCACCTGTTACTGCAGGCCCTGAGGAGGCAGTGATGGATTCCTGTCGCCCATGTGGGAGAATCAGGGAATTCTTGGCTTCTAGGCTCAGCCTCGGTCCAGCTCCATTTAATGCAGCCATTTGAGGGGTGAACAAGCAGATAAAAGCTCACTCATGGGCTCGCCCTTTTTCTCTCTCTATGCCTCTCAAATAAATTTATTTAAATCTCGGGTTTAAGGAAAAGGAAAAAAAAAATCAGATCAAGGTTTCCATGTTAGAGTTCAGACTGCTCAAGAAGCAGTTTGGAGCCACAGAAAGAACAAGGTAGCAGATGAATGGTCAGGAAGAAGGACAGCCCTGAAAAGGAAATCCAAAAAAACAGAAACAGCATAAAATGATGGCCCTAAAGTATACAATGACTTAGGAAGAAAGGGGGCAGTGGAACAGACAGGAGAAAAAAACTACACATACTCTCATAGATTCGTCAGAATCTTCTTGATTAAGAGAGAACTATTCTCATACAGCACGCTATACAGTTAAGACAAAGCAAGAGCTGCCCAAAAATTTTATTACTGAAAAACAAATTACTCTCTTAGCTTTACAGTGAAACTTGTAAAAACATACGAAAATCCAAAATGCTGTAATTATGCCCTATCCATGCTGTTTTATTCGTCATAATCATAAAATATTAGACATAGGAACTTAGCTTCACTTTTTCATTGTATACATTCCTGGGATCATTAAAATGCTAAGACACTATGTTTCAATCACCAGGCTATAAGGATCCAGCAGAAACTAACATTATGAAAATATAATTTTTAACCCCAAAATTTAGCTAAGATGAAAGGTTTAAATTTTCAACAGAAGTCGAACAATCTGATCCCAGACTTTGGCTCCTGTCCTGCTGACAAACTATCAATGATTCCAAGGACATGGGGCATTGCTTCCATATTTAGTCCATGTTTTCTATTCCTGCTACATTAAGGTAAAATTAAATATGCACCTTGTTTCCAGAAAATCCAATAAATTCTAGCAGTCTGATAATCCTTGCTGGTAAAAGGGACAGCATCTGTGAGAAAAAAGAAAATCCACATGCATTTATGTGTTAGTGTTTCTAAATGCAGACAAATGCTAAACTCTACACAGCACTCCAGCAATATGAAAAAGAAACAAACTTAAGCCAATTGATACACAATCATCACATATTGTAGTCATTTTTTTGAATTTTGCTAAATAAAACAAAAAGTTCTTTAAAAAAAAAACCCTCTTTTTTTTTTTAAACAATGGTAAAAAAAGAATTAGCTTTTCCTAGATTCTCTAAGGAACATTCATGAGGAAATGAGGGAGAGATGGGAGGTAATCCCTGGGTACCCACTTCCACATCAAGTTTCTTCTAGCTTCTATTAAAACACAAAAAAAATCTGTCATATTCTATGTGATGTGCAGGCACCAGTACAAGGAAAAAGTCCCTTTCAGGGGAATTCCTGATGGAGGGTGGGACTGGAACATTGTCCCTGTGAGCAGAACCTTGGGCATGCTACCTGTTCCACTCCTTACATGGAAGGAGAAGTGGCCAAGTGTGCAACAGCATGCCCACTCATGGAGCACGGCCCAGGGTCAGGCAGATGGTCAGGTGCATGGGAGGAACATGAGTGACAAAATGAGCATTAGAAGTCTGGGGAGAGATATGCAGACAGAGGTCCCTGAATGGAAAGAATATGTGAAGATATTTGGGTCCCGTGTGAGTGCTAATCTAAGAGTGACTACCAGAGGAAGGCTGGGATTCCCAAGTGGGCGGGCCACCCAGTCTATGCATGCCAGTCACTCAGCCTCCTCAGATACCCACTCACACCACAGGTGCATGACAATAGTGGCCATGGGAGCATAAGCACTTGTACGTGGTTCTCTTTTTCACTTTATTTTCTCACTATGCCAGTCCAACCTAAACAAGACATCAAAATCCCATTAAACAACAGATTCCCAATCCAACTCTATCTCTAGAGATCACCAAACATCATTCCCTAGTTTTTATGGTTTCTTCACCTGTTCCAACCTCTGAGTCCCCATTGTCTTAGCAACGATATTTCTGCCATGGAAATGGAACTAGATTCCAAGTTCCTGATTACTGGAAACCTTTTTAGTCTGTTCAGATTGCAATGTAGTTCACTTATATTGTACAAGCCAGGGCTTCTCTGAGCATGTGCATAACTTACACATAGCCAAAACTTACAGGGAGATCACAACACACACACACACACACACACACACACACACACACACACACACACACACACGGAGATCACAACACACACACACACACACACACACACACACACACACACACACACACAAATTGATCTGCTCTAGCCACTTGTCAATCAACCCAGTCAGAGGTTCAAGATGAGGTTTAGATGCAGTATGGCAGCCAATGGAAACCTTAAGTTCTACAAAAGTTCCAGGTTTCCGAAAAATCTTTTCCTTACCAAATTAAAGGCCCCAGTACCAAGCTTGACACCCCCTTCAAACTCATAGAAGAATTCTTGCTGAAGTTTGTTCTTCTGAACTACTTGCAGAAGAGAAAGACATTCCCTAGATTGAAGCAGAAAAGTTAGAGCATTAAGTTGACCATGACTCTGAAAATATTTACTTGAACTGCACACTTAATACACTATAAACACAAGGTTATGACCTGAATTATCACAGAATCTTTAAATAGAGGAGGCCACACTAGGTTGTCATTCAGGTAGTAGGGTCATGAGTGTAGGACCCAGGGCCAACATCCCACAGCTGCCTGCAGGCGATGTCTGCCAGCAGACTTGCAGGGTGTGGCCAGGTCCTCCCCTGCCATGCATACTTCCACTTTAGAAACAGAGCGCTTATGAATTTCAAAATGATTCTTAGGGTCACAGACAGGCCTGACAAATCAGAACTCATAAATAAGAAAGACTGATAAAACAAAACAAAACTGTCATCATGACTGTTCCTTCCTTTTCTTCTTTCTATCCAAATACATTTTCTCATTTCTCACTTTCTTTTTTATTTTTTTCTCTTTCCCACTCATGATATTGTCAACTTCAAGGGAGAAGTGCAAATAAAAACAATTACAAAGATATAAAAAGTGGTACAAATCTAACTTGTATATCAAGTTCACAAATAACATTTTTGGAAGGCAACAAGGAATAATCAAACACCACAAATCATTTGTTGTTATATAACTACATAAAAAAAATGCTATTTCATTTATGATTTCTTCCAGTCAAACACTTCATTTGAATCTTAGTTGAACAATTTATGGAAAGCTTTTATAATAATGCTGCAATTACCTCAAAGTAAAAATCTTTTAGAAGTTTAAAGGCAATTTTATTTTAGAATTATAAAAATATTTTATCAATAATTTTTAAAATATTTCAATGCTAAATACAAAGAAAATGATCTTTAAATGAATGCTCTTTTTTCCTACAATAAACAAAATTCCAACAAGTATTTATTAAAGAATTCTAATAAATAACATACATTAAAATGGAATATTTAAAATGCTATAAATACACAAATAAAAATAAATGTACATTTGTTTTCACTGCTTTGAAACAAATTGATGAATATATAGGTCTCCAAAACATTTTCACATTTCAAAACATTTTCGCATTAAAACAATCATTTCTTAACTCTATTTTGCAAAGAACTCTTGGAAGCAGACTTATTCACAAACAGAATTAAATGAAAAGTTATTCCCTCCTTCCAAACTCTAGATCCTTTCCATTTTCTGACTTTTTCAATCTTCAATTTCTAGTGCTTAAACATAAATTTTAAATAGATATTTTGTATGTTTTTCAGAGTTTATAATTGTTATTTGTAGGGAGGACAATTATTAGCTATCTTGTCAATACTAACAAAGAGCAGAATCAAAATTTTATGTTTTTTTTTAAAGATTATTTATTTTTATTTGGAAAGACAGATTCACAAAAAGAAAGAGAAACAGAGAAAAAGATCTTCCAACCACTAGTTCACTCCCCAAGCAGCCACAATGACTGGAATTGAGCCAACCTGAAGCTAGGAGCCAGGAACCTCTTCTGGGTCTGCTGCATGGATGCAGAGTCCAGGAGCTTTTTCCAGAGACCCTGGGCCATCCTCCACTGCTTTCCCAGGCCACAAGCAGGGAGCTGGATCACAAGTGGAATAGCTGGGACATGAACCAGTGTCCATATGGGATGCTGGTATTTGGAGCTGGGGAATTAGCCAGTTGAGCCATTGTGCCAGCGCCAAAATTATGTGTTTTAAAGTATACTTTTACTCAAAATTATTTCACACATTTTTGGCTGGATTTTTGGAAACATTCTGTTTTCAGATTTCCTCTTAAAATATTTTTAGAAGATTTTAAAAGAAAGTTAAAGCCATGAGTGCTTTTCCAGTCATCACAATTTAAAAAGAAAACTAAAGGATGAAATCAAAATAGTTCAGTAACAGGAAAGACATATAATAGTACTTCAAAAGGTTCATGGAAAATAAACTGAAAGATAAATGTATTGGTATAAAACACTAAAATCCAAGCACAGTTTAAAAAATATATATATATATATATTTCCATGAACCTTTTGAATACCCCCTTATGTGGCTATTTGTGAAAGCACACCTCAATTCCATCAATACAGACACCGGAAACTTAAACATAAAGCTAAGAGTTTAAGGCTGCAAGAGTGAATGTAAACTAATGAGAAGTTTTCCAAATACAGAAGAATCATGTAGATGGGAACAACATCTGTTTTAAAACTTTGTTCAAGGGTCCAGCAGATGATTCAATGACTAAATCCACATGGGCACCGGCTGCTCCACTTCCCATCCAGCTCTCTGCTTATGGTCTGGGAAAGCAGTAGAGAACGGCACAAAGCCTTGGGACTGTGCAATCACATGAAAGGCTCGCAAGAAACTCCTAGCTCCTGGCTTCGGGTCAGCTCAATTCCAGCCATGTGGCTATCTGGGAGTGAACCAACAGATAGAATAGTCTCTCTTCTGACCCATCATTCAAATAAAAATAAATAGATCTTTTTTAAAAATTCACTTAAAAATTTTAAAAGATCTTAAGTCTCTGTTCCATGTCAATAATTAGTAGGCCACAAGGGGACAATTGGGTATAAGTAGAAACAGAATAACATGACATATTGAAAAAGCAGTCAAGAGACCGAATCCAAAATGATCCAGATGTTGGGATAATAACCACTCTAAAAAAGATATATTTTTAGTTAAGAATATCTTGATGACATACTAAGTAAATCTAGGCAGACTGAAATGTGTAATGGAGTATCAGAAGGAGAAGAGAGAATGAGATAGACAAAGAAGAAATATTTGAAGGAATACTGACAAGGCTCTTACAATAACACAAAGACAGATCCATCACAGATAATCTCTGAGAAGTCAGAAGAAATGAAAAATCCTACTAACTCAAAATACTATACAAAAACATTGTTAAAAATGAAAATTCTTCACACTGAACGGAACAGGAATAAAGGAAAAAATACAAAAAAAATGGTAAGTATAGCTGTGACTTAGGATATGTGTCATGGTAAATAGTAATCAAAGTTGACTGTGATAAGCTAATACAGATACTACAGTCATTAAACCACCACCATCAGAAAATTTTTAAAAATAGAGTGAAATGACTAGAATGACAAAACAGTATTACTCCAGAATTTCTTTTAATTTAAATAAAGCAGCAGAAGACAGGAAAAAAGGAAGAGTAACAGATAAAGCAGAGAGAAAAAAACAAAATGGTAGTCACATGTACAGAGGTATCAACTGTCCTACGTGCATATATAAGGCATGCAATTTAAATATGAAAACAAATATATGTTTAAAGAATACATATCATGCAAATACTAATTATAAGCATGAGTAGCTGTATTAATATTAAACAGGTTGCAAGACAAAGAATATCATCAGGATTAAAAAGCACATCTTATAATGACAAAAGGGTAACTCATCAGGAAGACAAAACAAGTATAAATACACATAAGTCTAACAGAAGTCCAACTATATCAGGCAACCACTGACAAAACTAAAGGAAAAAAATGGATGACTACGAATTCACTTATTGATTTTAACATTCAGATTAAGTGACAAAAAATGAGTAAAGATATATAACAATACAATGGATTCCCTAATTAACATTGCCAATCCACTGCAGAAAGGTCTGTTGGGAAATGTTGTTCTGAACTCTGGACCAATGACACACCTGCTATGTAAGACTTATCAACTGTCATCAGGAAGACCATTCTTAAGATCACATAATGACTAATTGTGTTATTCCTTTTGTTTTTTTTTTTGCTGTTTGTATATATTTAAATTCTATTGTCCCCATGACAATGACTACTTACTCAGCCAAAAGTCAAATGCATTTTTTCCTAATATCAAATTTAAAAACCTAGTCATATTTTGAGAATTTGGAAGAGACAAGTGGCATATAGCCCCACAGAGCCCAAGAATCATTGGGGAAAAAATCTTATTTTTTAACTTACTTATATATTTGGTAGCTTGTTCTAATTTTGAGTCCACCCTTGATGAAGTTGATCATATTTTCATCCTGAAAATAATTAAGCAATTAGATAACTTTGCAAAAACATTTGAAACTATTTCCACAGTTACCTATTTGTGTGACTAGAAAAAGAAACCAATCTTTTCAGAACATAATTTTTAAACTAACACATTCTTTTTATTTAGGGAAAGGCTTTTTTCTTTGAAGCTAAGAACAACACAAAATTCTCACATTACTTTAAGTCACCAATGAAGTAATTCTCACCCACCAACTAAAAAGCCCAACTTATGTTAACGAAGAGCATTATCTACTGAGCAATTTTTTCTAGGTTCAGATAGAATCAAAAATGGCTAACTTTAAAGATCTGCTCAAAGGGCCAGAATTCACGAATATTATAACCCACATCATCCTTCCACAGAGGACTAGAATAGACAGTCTATCTGGTATGGTGACTCTTTTTTTTCCACATTTATGGGCCAAAACTAACTGGTCTGGATTCAGAAGTGGCTTGTTACTAACATGCAATATAGTTTGAGGTGGCAAAAACTGCTTTATTTCTCCTTGCCTGATGATCATTAATCATAAAATTAAGCCAATGGTCTAAATGAATGTCATTTTCAGAACCAGTGTTTCACAATCCCCAGAGTGTCTACATAAATTATTTACAATAGCAGCTTACAGGAAGCTACTCTGACAGATGGTGGCAAGGTAGACAGTCTCAACTTTTGCATTTCCAAACCAGAAAGATGCTCTTGTGTTTCTTTTCCATGCACCTGAACATTCTTCTGAATACAAAAGGAAACCGGAGATGCTTACTTATTTCATCATGTACTTAACTATTTAACGATTATTTAATTAATACTCCAATTACTATAAGAGTCACAGATGCAAAATTTATTTTCTTATTTCAAGGAAACTTACGATTATACACATTCTAATATCAACCAGTAGAAACATTTCTTAAATATCTGCCTCAAAAAAAAAATCTCATTCTGTGATTCATTGCAAACTTCTTAAATTTCTAGTTTACACCAGGCACCCAAATGCAAAAAAACAGATGAAAGCACCATCACCACATGCTAAGGTATGGAGGCATCCATAGGGATGGAGACATGCACAGGATGCTATGAGAGCAACAAGCAAGGCAAAGAAAGAGCCAGAAAAGTCACCGCTCATAGCACAAAAACTGATTAAGCAAAGGCCAGGTGAAGAAAGGCAAAACAGATGTGAACTTGGCGAGCAATGGAAAACACAAGTGGAAAGACTGGGAAGTGTTAAAGATGATGGTGTGCTTGGCCATCTCTGCTAAAGAATTCGCTGGCCAAGAAGGGACTGACCAATGAGTGAGAAAGCCACCAGTACCGAAGCCACTCTGGTATGCAACATACCCCACTGGTAGTTTCCTAGATACCAGTAATGGAGGAGTGCCGGAGAGTGAGGGAGGCACCAGTTCCACCTGAAAAAGCTTCCCACATGCGTAATGGTCTGCCACAAACACTGCCACAGTCAATGAGTGCCACTGCTAAATTCTAAAGCAGAGAAATGACACTGCCTCATCTTTGAAAGGGTAATGCCATTGCGAATGGAGAGTGAGCAGGAAGCAAGCAAGATTGAAGACACAGGTTGCTGTACAGTGTTGGCAAGGGCTGATGGACGCCTCCACTGGAACAACAATAGAAGAGTCATCTTCACAAGGCAAAAGCAGTGCGATCATGAAGGCAACTGGAGAGGGGGGCAGGGCAAGAGGAAGAAGGGAAAACCATGGATATCTCCCAGACGTTTAATTAAGTCCCCAAGGATAAAATAATTCAGATTCCAGACTTCATGATCAAATCCCCACTTTCAAAAACATTTCAGAAAAAATAATGCTAGGCTTCTATGATTGGCATTGTATCTACGAAGGCAGTAGAAAAAATCATGATCAACCAGCCTTGAGGATATGTAGGATTTTGGGGACCATATTGATTTAACGAAGCCAGAATCCAACCTAAAAAGCTAACTTCCAGGAAAGAGAAATGCCAACTCTCAAAATAACTCAAAAGACTAGGGCTGAGGAAGACCTCTGCATCTTATAACCGAATCTCCTTCTGCCTCCTTGCAATCTCCACCCCAAGTTTCTCCCTCATGGTAGTTCTTACCTCCACCCAAGAGACAATGATCTAAAACTCTGGTTTTCAGAAAATATTGAAGAGACAGAGGCAAAGTAGTATCAGTGTGAAAATTAAGCGCTGCTTAAGAAAAGGCCTCAGCTTCACTGCTCCATTTAGTGACTTCCAAAAATCACTCTTTGAAAAGAAAGAAAAATCAAGAGGAATGAGAAAAAAAAAATGAGGATGGAAAATAAAATCTGAAGTATCCATGACAAGTGTGGCTGTCTTTGCATGCATAACCGAACTCTGCTGCAGCACGTGGCAGGGGGATGGCAAGAGGTAATGGACAAGCATAGAGGACACCTGCTCTGGCTAGGCTGCTACTGTGGGCAGCCCTCTCCCACCAGCAAGCTCAAGAGAAACAATCTCATGGTATTCAGGCAAAGAAGTATCTGAAAATTAGGCATGGCAGTTGCAAGGCAATTTCTTTTCAAGTAAATGGAATTCGCAAAAGACTGAAATTCAGAATCGACCCCAATTGCTGGTTGAGTTGAAATAAAGCTCTCTGGAGTCTTTTCTCAGCTCAAGTTGATTGGGATAATAAATGTTTCATTACCCCTCTATGTTAAGAAAACTAAAGCACCCACAGAAAATGAGGCATATTTATCTCCACAGTGCTGGCAGTCTTCCCAGAGAATACCGGGTCTAAACCAAATGTTCATTACCTGCACAAACGTGAGTGCTGCTTTCTGTAGGAGACACTCGGCATAACAGATTTCAGCATGCATTTCCTCTATTAAAAACAAATAAAATTATATTAAGGAAAATCCCACGTCCACAGTAATTGCTCTGAGATGTTCAGAAAAGACTGGTAGATAAATGAGCCCAAGGGAGACACAAACACCTAGATGGCTATGGTGCTTCTATAAAAGCAAAACCGTAGCCTCAGTTCTGAGTCCTTGGGCAAGATTTTCCCACAAGTGTGAAATGTTCGGGAAGTTATCCTTGGCCCCACACAAACATCTCCACAAAGAGTCAGGCACTTGGCGTCAGATATCCAAACTCAGCTCACAGGAAGAAACCCAAACCCAAATGCGCTTTTTAAAAAAAGGAAAGCACTTATATTTTTAATGTAACAGGAAAGTTTAATACTAGAGGAGTTCAAGCTTTAGAAATTGGAAGGTATGAAATTGTGGCAATGACTTAAAAGAGAACGCACCAACTCTATAGAGTTTGCTGCAGGAGCACTACTCTGCAGACCCAAGATAGGATTCCTTATGACACCCAAAAAAATGATATAAAGAAAGCACTGTTCCAGTTAGGAGCTAATTTGAGCATTCCGATATCTTGCATAACAAAGCATCCACAGAAAGGAGCTATGGGAAGCTACACACACCCTAGGGAGTGTGCAGTTTCTACCTTCCTAAATAATTCAAGATGCTTCCAGAGACAAAGAAGACACATTTTGTCCTCTATCTGCAGAAACAAAGTCAGCAGATTCTCTCTTGATTCATGGGTACTTTATTTAAGTGTATAATCTTGAGGCATTTAATTTCCAGAATGGAAGACAGGTTGTGCAATGTCCCAGCTATGAGGCACTGAGTCATCCAAGTCCTTTCTGCTGGTTCCTTCATCTCCATGGTCCATGAGAACACAGCTGCAGGATTAACTGAGCTCCTACCCACAGGGCTCACTGTGTGGAGTTACCCTTGACCAATGTTAGATACTTCTCCTAGGTTGCTGCTCTGGCTAGGCTTAGTCCACGTTGGTGCTTTGTGCTAAAAACTCAGAAAGCTGAAAGCAGTTTTACACCAAGTGGCTGAAAAATAAGGTATTTCCATGTTATTGAGAACACTACTGAATCAAGCTAGGTAAGAACCATTTGCACATGAGAAAGATGCCACCTTACAGACACACAACCCACTGGCTTACACATTGGTTCAGCTTCCTACCATGCTCATATTCCAGATGTCTAATTTACAAAGAAGCAACAAGACAGCTAAGATTCTCAAAAGCAAACAAATGAACGCAAACCCAGTACAGGCAAAACTTGAGGACTTTGACCTATGCCATTCCAGCTGAATCAATAGCCAGTCTTGGTGTTACATGAGCCCCCGGGTTTTCCTCAGTGAGTTTGGTGGGACACAGAAAGATCATTTCATTGTACAATAACACCTGGCTATACTCCTCAAAAACATAACACAATGAGGTCTGTTGGGAATTGTTCATTCTAAAAGTCAACTCAGAAAAACAATCCACAGGCCATGACAAGCCTTCCAAGAGGACGACACAAAGTCAGCAGGCCAGCAGGAACAGCGACATGGAGAAGGGGAGCCTGTGACCAAGGGAGGAGGGCACACAGGGCTCTACTTGGAGAGATCTGAGCAGGAGGGTGGACAGATCAAGGAGAAGCCAAAGGCCGTTCTTAAGGGCATACAAAGGATGGAACAAGAGGCAGGCAAAGTTGAACTCTGTTCCCCCTGTGTAAGATTTCTTCCTATTGAATCCCTTTCACATCCTAGGGACTGCATGCAAATGTCTGTTTTCCAAGGCAATTTGAAGCTCATCTGGGACAGCCCACCAGCCACAAGACAAGAGTGAGTATGTTCCAAGGATAAACTCATGAACAGTTTAGCAAAATATACTCACTTGAGCAGAGAATCAGACACTCAAGAATGTAAATGAAACTCACCAAGAGGAAAAACAAATCACATACTAAAGCTACAATGTTTTGACATGCTCTCTTGAACACAAAGTCTGGGTTTCAGTGACAGCCAAACTCAGTAGGAATGAAATGCAACTTCATTTGTAAAAGGTTTATTTCTTTCCCATGGCTGATTTACATTGGGCTAGTTCTCAATATCAGTTAGGCGAAATTTCTGAGTAGGTGCCGGCCAGAATGCCTCTCAATGATAAATTTCTTAGTCCAGTGATATGAACATCTTCATGAAACATGAAATGTGAGCTAAGCACAGTCTCTAGCTACAAAGTCTAAGTAAACCTGTATTTCTGAACAGGCTACAGTCACAAGCCGGCTTACTTTGTAATAGTTAGCAATAAATAATAATAATAAATTAATTCTCTACCTTTGTCTGGATTTCCTAAAGTGCCACTATTCAAAGACATTATAAAAGGATAAGAACATAGAATCATCTATTTCCAAGGTATCTCAATACTGGAATAATTTAGTATTTCATCAATATGAGAAACATTCTAGGCCTAGAGGACAGAGCATGGCAGTCATGGAAAGAGCTGTAGTTTAGGGAAAGTCAGATCAAGTTTAAACCAGCTCCGATGTGGGGCTAGTCATTTGTTTAAATTCTCTGAACACCAGCTCCTATTCTATAAACACGTCTCACAGATAATACTGGTAACTGTTAAGAAAATCACCAAGCATGTTATCCGGCACATAGAAAGCACCATTTTAAAAATAAGGAATTATTGTTATTTTTTAAATTATTCATTATACTTACACCAAAAACAGTCTTCTACACCAAAAATATTCTTCTAAAACTAAGGTTTAAAAAATCAGTCAGGTGTCAACCTTTATAATATACAAACAGAAATGAGGCAGAATTCAATGGGCCACGATTAGCACCCAGAAAGTAACAGAAAGGAGAATGCAACAACCAAAGAGAGTCAAATTTCCCACTGATCCACCGCAATGACCAATGAAACGTCATTCTGCTCTACTATGGTTCCAATTAAAATCACACAATTTTGCAAAAAGTTCTAAGGCAGTGATATGTCTCAAGACACTCTCCTGTGATTAACATTCTAGTCTCACATGAACGTAAACACTCCTCAGTTCTCCAATGCCCATGTCAATAACACTTGTCTAACAAAGCAAACCAAACTTCACACACACTGACTACACTTAGCCATTAGGAATGACCCTGACCGCAGCATCCAGAACTGGTCTTGCTTGAATCGGCCATGTCTACATCTAGTATTTCATGCTACTTCTTCCAGAAAATAAGCCTTACAACGATAACACAGAGATAAATTCTCATGGAAAAACAGCTTGATGCTACAATAGTCACCTTTAAAGGACCTATGTTTTCCTCTGCAGGATTATCACGTTTCTCATTTCTTATAGACCATTCTGGCAAAAGTTGAAAATGCAATCTCTATCCTAATCTTAGCATGAGCATCAACTGCTAACAGGTGCCAGTTCCTCCTATTCCTTTGATCAGAGAACCATAGCCATGGCTGGATTCTCAAATATTTCTAAATGTCTACAAATCAAACATCTTTCATGCTGTGAAACACTCTCATTGCTTAAAGGATATCAAAATTACTTTTACCTTAGAATAAAATTGTAATGGGTAGTAGAAAAACTGAAAGCTCACATAAACAAATAGTAAGAAGAGAAAACTGGGCAATATCTGGAAATATTTTAAATTTTCAAACCCTCAGTTCCAGTAATCTAATTTTTAGGAATCTCTCATATTTGGGAAAAAAATGCATAAAGACATAAATACGTAAGATTCTAGGAGAGCTTCCAGTGAAGAAATAAAAGTAATATTAACTGTTCATTGACAGAGAAACAGCAAGAATATTATGGTAATCTATCCTTTGGAATCCTACTTAGATGTTCAATAGGATAGCGATCTAGGAAAATATCAATGTCAAAAATCAAATTATAGAAAAAACATGCATTACGTGAGCCTATGCTCATAAAAAGAAATAATGAACCATGACAAAAACCTAAGTATGATTTATGTGTATGATTGCATTTGTACACAGAAAAGTATGCAAAGCTTCCAAACCAGCTGTTTTGCAGTGGTGACTTCTGGGGTGTGTGTGTGTGTGTGTGTGTGTGTGTGTGTGTGTGTGTGTGTGTGTGTGTGTGTGTGATGGATAAGAATAAGAATTATTAACATACTTTCTACACTCCAGCGTAGAAATTTTATTACATTTTTAAAAATAAGTAAAAGTTAATGTGTCAAATGCGTCTCACCTTCACTCAGCTGCTCCAGTGTTCCTCTAGAGAGAAGACTTGAAAAGGATTCTACAACTGTGCATTTCTTCCTATATCTGCATACAACAAAAAGGGAGATGGGAAAGAAAAAATTACCTGTCAGATTGTGCTCATGCTCATCTGCTATCTGCTGCAGCCCCAGTCACTTCAGAGTCACCTCTGGAACCTTAGACCTTGAAGTCTGGAGGGTTTGGGAGCACCCTGTCCCAACATCACAGCCCCTGGATCCCAGTACCTGGTTGGCAACATGCAGTCACCCAACCCATGTTCACTAAGCCTGTGACTGGACAAACTCCCACAGAGCGAATACTAAACTTGTACAGCATCTTCCCTTCTCTCTGTGGTTCAAATCTTAGTTCTGCAGCAAGTGTCTTGACAGGCAAAAAATATAATTACAGTACAATAGTTGAACTGTCTTCATTGGAGGTACCTGTAACCTCATTAAATGAGCTTGGAGCTCCAATCAAGCCAAAATTCACCAGTGTTACTAATAGCCTCTTCTGGAACCTTCCTACCCACATAGAACAAAGATTCAAATAAAAGTAAAAGCCCATATCATTTTGAACAGCCAGAAGCTTTCAAACATATCCTTTTAAAACCAAATAAAAGCATTCCCATGTGAATTAGAGGTTCTCCTAAAGCATCCCAGAGGCTGTGTGCTCGGCGTGGCCTGGACTGGCCTGCATGCCTGTTCCCACCCATGCCGACCCTTGTGAAATGCCTGCTGACACCCCTGCAGTCTTCTCCCTGACTCTCCATAGCTCAACCACCAAGCTTTCAGAAGGAAGGCGAGGTGGCATGGAAGCCAAACAGCAATCCTACTCTAATTCAACTGTTAACAGAAAACCACAAAAGATCATGAAGCTGAATAGCTGAAGCTCTTCTCTGTAACCATGGCCAGCTCCAACCAAGAGCAGGAAGGTGGGATGTTGTCTCTCAAGTCTCCAGTGACCCCATCTTACTTTTGGCAGGTTTGTAAAGCGTCCTTCATGGCAGAAATGCCTTTCTGGATGTCCTGTTGCTCGAAGGTCATCACAGCCTGCAACACCACAATGGTACTGTAGCCCAGTGCATGGTACATGCTGTCCTTGGCCCTGAGAAGAACACAGGGAATGATGTATTTCACCTTCCTGGCAAAAGCATTCCAGCTTTCTCATACCAGTCAAAGGGATTCTTAAAACCTGCTTGTCCTGATTTCCACAGCCCTAGCCTTGGCTCATTCATGTAATCACAGAGATGACATGGACTATGAAAAGCATGCTCCTAAGAACTCAAGTGTCGTGGATTTTCCCATTTAAGCCCACACAGGCAGAACAGTGTTCCAGGCTGAAGCGGACAGCATGCTTTTCCGGATTTCAGCACTAGGGGGAAGCCTGCAGTCTCATCGCCCAGGAAGGGTTTAAAGGCAAGCCAACAATTTCCAGTTGAAAAACAAACATTGTGTGGTCATTAGGTATGAAGTAAGTGCTAACAGAGAGGCTGCTGGAGATGTGTTTTGTGATGGGAGATTCTGATATGCTTTTTGAAAGGTAAAGACCCATTTTAAATCACCTTCCCTTCTTCCTATGGGAAAACAGGAAGCAAGATTTTTGCAACAAATCAGGCCCAAGGGTTCCAACCGAAGCACATCTTAGTTTTGCTAATGCAGTCATCTAATTGCACTGTCTGATATTCTTCACTGAGGTTCCTGATCATTCACCTGAGAAGTTATCAGTGGGAACTGCCTCAGGACTGTAAGGACATTCGTCAAGTTCTAATGCGTCAGACATACCGTATCATGGCTTGTGAAAACCTCGTTCCCTCCTCAAAACTTGTACTGATTGTCTAGAATGTCTGAAATATGAAGGCATGATGTATTTTTAACTGAAATATGAATGCACAATAGCTTGCTGCACTGTGAAATACACGTGAGTCACACTGTTCTTTCCTTCCACACAAACTGTCTAAACAGCCTTGGATTATGTACAGGCTGTCCTGAAGAGTGAAGGGACTACCTGTTCAAAAGAACCATGGGGCATAATGAGAGCAGCCCAAAGTGCATCATGAATTGTGGTCCCAAACATCATATTTTTAACCGACAAGGGGGTTTGGGAATGGTATTTTTAACAGTCACACGTGCCTAAAGACCAGATTATATCAAATGCGACTGAATCCTGATCATTTCTTTTCATTGCCTACTAAGACCAGCCAGTAAGTATGAGTGGCAGAAGAGATATCAGAGTTGCTTGAATAAAATCCAAAGGAGATAGAGGGACAGCTGAGAAGACAAGGAAGGGGTCAGAGGCTGAGGAAGTAAGAGGGAGGGAGGGGGAAGGCAGGAAGCAGGCAAGGGAAAGGGTGTAAGGTAACCAACCGCCTTCAGCAAGGACTCCATCTACTTCTCACTTGTTCTTAACTTCTCAAATACTAATTCATCAGCCACACTCACAGGTATTCTAAGGTATTCTAAACCTTACTGGAGTCATTAAGATGGACAATTATTCCTGCCTGGCCACGGTCACTGTGGAGTAGCTGATCAGTCAGGGTGAGAGCAGTAAGCAAAGCTGAACACAGGTCTTGTGATGGGGAACCCAATAACATTCTTATCTTTAATTTCTTTTCAGCTTGGAGATTAACATGTTTAGCTCATCCCTTCTCGGTTTCAAAGTAAATTTTTCTAAATGATACTTGAGACAAAACTACAGACTGAGACAATAACTAAACAAGCATGGAAATAAAACTGTGAAAAAAATCACATCTTCTATTTAGGAAATTTGAAAGGGCAAATTCCTTAGCTGAATTTTAAGACTTTGCAGCAACACGTCTCAAGCAAATTAAATGCTAAAGTTAGAAGGAAATAAAGTGACAAGCACAAGAACAATAAACTATCAGAAACAGCTGAAAAGATTTTATTAAATAAAAGTTAATTACCATGGACGAAGCAATTCTATGGCATCTGTAAATTTGTTACTTAGAAATAAGTTCAAGGCCATTGCACATTCTTCTAGGCCACTCTTGAGATCCACCTTGGTTGATGACGAACTAAAGATAAAGAAAAAAAAAATAGAGTGACTTCCATTTCTTTTCTGTTAATAAGTTGTTCAGGTGTTGCAGGCTGGGCTGGAAACCAGGAAGGGACAAGATGCTAAATACTGCCAACCCCAAGCTAAGCATGTGGTCCAAACCCGATCATCTCCCAAGCCTGTACAACATGGCTGAAGACACAGCACTCCCATGCTGCAGCTAAGCTTCCCCTTCCCAGGAAGGCACCAGACACTGTAGCACCTTCCTGGAGCCCACCACACACTTTGCAATCCCAAGGCAAATCCTGCCTCCTGCTCCCTTGGATCATTCCATCAGACCTGCCCTCTGTCTTATAAAAAGGACACCTCCAGCCTTGGTGGGAGCAATTCTGCCTCACAAGATTATCTGCATTCAAGTTTATGTGTGCTGCCTTTCAATAGATCTTTCTTCTCACCTCTGTCTACATCTCCCAGTTGTGTATAGTCTTCCAGGTGGGGAGCCAAGAGACAGCTATGTCTAGTTGGGGGTCCCTCAACCAGGACTACTGATCTCCACAACACAGAGCATGTATGTACAGATTGTGCATACAGGAGAATAGGCAAAAATACAAACTTTGTCATTTATTAACATAAGGGCAAAGGGAACTTTCCTTTCACACTTGCAAAATTGGACACTGTGAGTCATTAAAAATAAATGGACAACAGATTAACATTAGAAAAGAAAATATCTATTATGCTCATAAGAATGGATAGTGAGTACCTAAAAACCCAGTGAGATTAGGAGCTTAAACCGCTCTTCACAAGGGAAAGGGAAGGGGGCTGTCCAGGTAATTTTAGAGGAAGAGTAAACAATATTCAGGAGAAAGGGGGATTCTTGAAGAACAGTCACCTAGGGCAGGGGTTGCTGGGGCTCTGGAGGCGGGGTCAACTCTATCGCTCGCAGCGAACTGATCTTCCCTGATGAGACAACCACGTGCAGGAGGCCCATGACACTTGCATTTCTTCTGGAAGAACTCCCCTTAATCAGATAAGAGAACTTCATAGGAAACCCTTTCTTATGCTTCCAGAAATAACCCAGGCAAGAGCCAAGGCACCAGAAAAATAGGAAGGAGACCTGGGTTCTGAGGCCACTGTACTTACAGCTCAAAGCACCTCGCTGTGTGGTGCAGTTTTCTGTGTTATCAACACTGTGTCAACAACGTCCCAGAGTCTCAACTTTCCTATCTGTGAAGTGGGAAGCCACCATCCACTACATGAGCATAAGCAGAAAGATAATGTCACAGTAGACAATAATTCTCTGCATCACTCAAAAGACCTTACGTGTAGGAGGGTTTATTTGTTTCTATTAAACAGTGGCTGCCTGGGAGCCACAGGACTCTATCTCCCCCATGACTTAACCTACCATCAAACTTTTACCCAGAATTCATTCAACTATCTTTTAAATTAGGTAATTTGAAAGGCAGTGAGACACAGTGGGAAAGAGAGAGACCCATCTGTTGGTTCATTATCCAAATGCTTGCCACGGCTACAGCTGCTAGGAGCCAGGAATTCCATCCAGATCTCCCACATAAGTGATAAGGAAGCAAGCACTTGAGCCATCATCTGCTGACTTCCCAGGCACATTAACAGGCAGCTGGACAGGAAGCAGAGCAGCTGGAACTCAAACCAACATTCCAAGAGAGGATGTCAGCATCACAAATAGTGGTTTAACCCACTGTGCCTGTCAGAATCAAAATGGAGTCACTTACGTCAACCTTAACAAAAATAAAGTCAGGGGTTTATGATGGAAGTGTTCTTACATATGATTGCATTATAATAATTCTTACAAAAGACTTCCAGAACCGCAACCATATATCAGTCTTATATAAAAAGTACTTCCACAAGGACATCTGCCACGTCTGCTCCACTTTACAGTGACATCACCCTGATTATTAACCACTGTGAATCAACATAAATGTAATGACAAAACCTCTGGTGTAATCCTCTTTCTTTTTGTCTTTAAAAACTTTAAAAAAAAAAAAAAACTTGCACTTGCCTCAATGTCTTAGAAAAAACTCACAATTTGCTATGTTATGTACCTTCCCAAGGCAACGCTTTGGTATTTTTAAATACATATCAGCATTCTTTGAAGAAAACCTAAATTTTTTAGGTTGGAAAATTAATATTTCTAGAGTGCTAAAATATGTGCAGGCATCCTTCTAGGTGCCAGCAGTACACCAAGGAGCAAGATGCAGGATCCCAGACTCTCAAGGAGCTTTTGCTCTACTAGAGAAGGAAGGGCAGATATGTACAGGGAGACCAATTACTAAGTAGGGTCAGGCCAGACTGGATTGAGAAGTTAGAACAGAATCTGCCTAGGAAGGAATGGGTGCACAGAGGCACAATGTACAGTCATGGAAAGCTCTCCAGAAGAGATGGCATCTGAGTTCAGAGTGGAACCACCACAGGAATCCCTAGGTTGGAGGCAAAGTAGAGATTCCAAGCTGAACATGGGATGACCAAGGCAAAGAGTGAGGGAGAAATGAGAACAGAAGACCTGGGGGAAGAAAAGATGGATTTTATTCTAAGAACAAAGATATTCGTTGGCTCAGAAATCCTCACGCTTTTTCTCATCACCCCTTCCCTTTAACTGTGTATTGGGTTTTCCTGCCTTACCTGCCACCTGTTCTCTCTAAGGTTACAGCTCCTCCTTTATTACCAGGAAATGGGCTGAGAACAGATAACAGTGCTCTTGCCAAACAAGCCATTATGTCTGCATCTCAGCTGGCCACACCGCCAAGTGGGAGGATACATTACTCCTGTCTCAGCTCAGCGGGATAAACAAAGTGGGAGCTAAGCACCTGCACACGAGGGAAATTCAGGCCTTCTAAAAGGTTTGCTATGCAGTTCACCTGCAACCGCCTCCACCAACCCCACCCCAGCCTCACCCCAGTAGAGCTGGGTTACTGTATCCTGCAACAGAGTGACCAAGAGGGCAACGTCATCTTGTTCAGTCCTTCTCTCAAGCACCTGTTGGAGACTTTCGTTCCTCTTCACTTCCACTGCCATCACTTCCCATCTGAATTCTGAACACAGCCCTGACTATTCCTTCTTTCGGTTTCTCGATCTGCAATGTGTATGAAACTTATCCAGAGGGCTTGCTAGAGACAGCCTGGTCCCACCCTCAGTTAGCCTCAGTAGGCCTGGGGTGGGCTCAACAAGTACCCAGATCATGTTCATTGTTTGAATTCACCTTGGATACCACTCTCAGATTGCTCTGCTCTTCCTGGAACAGATGTTCATCATTCTGTCTCCATAGACTGAAAGTAGAGAAGGGCTGCCCTCACCTGCCACACAATGTTCAAACTCTTCTGCCTGCCTTGCTTCTTCAATGCCCTGGAATTCTGGCTACAGCACACCTGACCAAACAAACTGGTGTGGCAAGCAAAGCTGTTTTAACAGTCACATACCTTGCAATGGGGTCATCAAAAAGGTATCCCCTGCAATGCTGGCAAGATGGAAGGAAAATTTCCTGGACCGAGGTGGAAGTCAACACTGCCATTCTCCAGCCATGTGACCTTCAAAAGTTGCATATCCTCCCTGAGTCCCTTGCCTCATCTTTGAAATGCCCTCCCATGGGGACTGTGAGTGAGGAGGAACACATCAGGTTCCTGCACACCCTAACCACACCAGAGCCACACCTGCATGCTTCCTGTCCAAGTGGGAAGAGTGGCTCCATTTTTAGGCATCCCTGCACAGTGCCCTGCACAAGTGCTTGCTATATACATGCCCAAGAAGACTGCTGATTAAAAGCAGAGTGGAAACGATCATTGCTTAGCTTTGTGGAGGAAAAAGAAGAATCTGCAGATGAAATCTAGCACACAATGTCTACTGATTGTCTTCACATATCAAAGCTTCAAGACAGAATTGGCGCTTACTCTTCCCCCTTCCCACCATCCACCCCCCTCAGCCACCGCAAGCTGTCCCTGCCCCAACTTCCTTAAAACCCTCCGTGCTACAGGTCTCTGAGCACCCAGCTACCAAATGAAGGGATACTTCCCACTCCTTCTGAAAGTAACACCAAGCTCTATTGACCAGATTTCAAAAATCAGACCTTCACAAGAACCCTGGGCCACCACCTCATTGGATCATCTTTGTCTCTCTCTCTCTCTCTCTCTCTCTCCCTCTCTCTCTCACACACACACACACACGCCTCTGCAGCTCCTGTGTGACTCTCATTTCCTTAGCCACCTTCCACTGGCTGAATTCCTGAAGGTTCCTTCCTTGGCTCTCTTTTGCTTTGCTCTCTCTGGAGGACAGCAGTTGTTATTTATGATGTCAACAGCTAGATACATGCTAAAGATCTGAAGTCTACAGATCCAGCTCCAGGCTGTGAGCCCAATGCCCTAGTTGATTTCTGATTCCAGTAATTTCTACTTATTTTATTACAGCTTTCAACCTCAGCATTACAAATATCGGCACAGCAGTTACCCAGGCAACTATCAGATGACTTAACAAGTATGAGGGAGGAAAGCTTCTTTCTGAAAAAAACAAAGCCTTCTACAAGGAGAAGAGCACCTGGAATGAAAAGGTAATGTGAAAAAATTAAATTTAATCATGTCAGCTTCATCCTCATGTCTCAACCCTTTCTACTGAAAATGTACAGACTTAAAGCATACTGCCAAAAACAGGAGTATCAAAACACACTTGTAAGTAGCTAAAATGTTCAAAGGCAAAATCCAAAATATTACCTAACTTTAAAAGCTCAATAAACCCAAAGGAACTAGAGAAAACACTTATTTGTGATATAAAACTGCTTTATCAGAGCTGCTGTTAATAACGCATAAACAAAGATAATTTCAAAAATTAACTCTAAAGTGGATCAGAGGAGAATATTAATTTAGCAAATATAACATTGTGGGAAAATATCTAATTAGAAAGAGAAAATGATACAGAAGCAAATGCTTAGAAGGCAGATTATTAAACAGTGTTTAAAAGAATGCCAATTAAGAAGCAAGTTTGAGTTCTTGTTTGCAAGGTTGAGAGACAAAAAGTTGAGCAAGAGAGTGAACTTCCATTTGCCGACTCATTCTTGATGCTCCCACAATAGCCACCCCTGGAGGCAAGAGCCAGGAACTCAAGCAAGGTCTCTCATGTGGGTGGCATGAACCCAGTCACTTGAGCCACTGCCTTGTGCCTCCCAGGGTCTGCACTAGCAGGGGGCAGGAACTGAATTCAGGCACTCCAGTGTGGAATGTGTGTGTATGAACCATATACCTACCTCTAAACTTTTTAATATTTTATATAGGAAGAGAAAAAGTATGCACAAAAAATTATAAATGATAGTTTAAGGTAACAGGTGCTTCATTCCCTTCTTTATCTACTGAATTTTCTACAATGGAAATGCATTTTAAAACCAAAGTGGTGAGAAAAATGTAAGTAAGAAATATTCAGTGAAAATTTTATTGTGATTAAAACTACATCATGAAACATATGCCTAGGAGACAGTGTTGTAGCACAATGGGTTGACTCAGATTACAATGCCCACAAACTATATCTGAGTGCTGATTTGAGTTCCACTGGCTCCAATTCCAACCCAGCTTCCTGCTGATGCACTCAGGAACACAGCACGCAATGGCCCAGGCACTTGGCTTCATACCATCAACTTGGGAGGTGGATATAGAGTTCCTGGCTCCTGGCTCCAGCAGAAGATGAAAGATATCTCTTTCCCTTTTTCTCTCCTGTCTTTCTCTCCATTCCCCCGACCCCAACTATCTCTATCACACTTTCTGAATAAATAAATACATCTTTTTTTAAAAATAGCATACTTCTAGCAAAAAGATTAAAATGAAATATACCAAAAGGTCATAGTTTCAATTTTGGTGTTTCTCCTTCTGTTTCTCCAAAAATCAGCAATTTGGGCATATTATTTTATCATAAAAAAAAATAGTGGTTTAAAAGGGGTGGACATTGGACCTTGCGGTTTAAGATGTGAATGAAGACACCCTCCCTTCCACGTGGCAGCACCTGGGTTCTATTCCTGGCTCTGGCTCCTGATCCAGATTTCTGCTAACAGAGCTCCTTGAAGGTGATGGTGAAGGCTTGAAAAATTTGGTCTCTGCCATTCAATGGAAGAACTCGATGGAGTTTCCCACTCTGACGCAGCCTGGGCTGGGCTACAGTGTGTATTCAGGGAGTGAGCCAGTGAATGGGGCTTCCCTCTCTTCCTCTCTGTCTCTCTCCCTTCCTCCTTCCCTGCTCTATCTCTCTCTCTCTCAAATAAACAAAAATTATTTTTTAAAAGTAATCACTAAAAAGAAAATTTAAAGATAAAAGAACTCAAAAGGCAGTTGTGTCCCCAAAGTGGAATTTAGTTTCATTTCTGCTTAATGCAACACTAGCTCCCAAAGCAGCTGTTGCTCCCCCGCCCCCTCATTTGCTAACAGTGATGGAATCTGCCCAGGCCTCTCTCACCCTGGGGCACTAAGCACAAAGCACTGTGTCTGTCAGGATCACCTGCCCCCAAGGAATGGGCTACTGTCCCCTGGTACCCCCCACACGTAGTACCCACACCCCCTTTCTGACCTGCTTGTGTGAGAGCCTCCGAGCTGTCTGGATGTCCGACTTGAATCACAGGATGCAAAGTGGAGATTGCCTGTTGCCATTTCTGACTGAGAAGATCTGTTAATTAAGAAGGCAGGGTAAGGTGGTTATTCGTTTGTGCACCAGGAAAAGACCATACAAAACACAAGTGCCCTTGAATTATTTTGCATATCTCAATCCTATGTCTGTATTTGAAAGTTCAAGGTAGAGAGAGAGCGAGGGAGAAGTATTGGGAAAAGCTTCCATCCACGATTCCCCCCCCAGATGGCCACAGCAGCAGGGACTGCTCGGCTAAATCCAGGAGCAGGACCGTCTTCCAGGTCTCTCAGGTGGGTGCAGGGGCACAATCACTTGGAGAATCATCTGCTGTTTTTCCAGGCACGCATTAGCAAGGAGCTGGACTGGAAGTGCAGCAACCCGGACTCTTGGTGGCAGCCACATGAGGTCCCTTTGCCACAGGCAGTGCATTACTCACTAAGCCACAATGCTGGCTTGCCCACATAGTTTTGTCGTTACAAACAATTGCAATATGCCCCTCAACCCATCTGCCTGATTATTTCTTGAAGATAAATTGCTGAAATCAAAGTCACGAATTTTATGTTCTTCCAGTTCTAATAAATTGTCTGATTTCCCATTTTATGTGCACTCTAGAGTGCTGAAGTGACACAGGTGAACACCCATCCGGTTCTCGGTCTTAACTGGCTTTACTGACCCAAAGACCCTCTGACAAACACCAGGAGAGAAGGGCCGTTCTCAAAAAGAGACTTTCAGAAACAATTTTAGAATAAATCCTGTCCAGTATTATAATAGAACTGCCACTCTCCTATATCTATTCACCTTAACAGTGCACATCTCATAGAAAGAGTTGCATCATAAAAAAAAATTAAAAAGAGGCACAGAAACTGTTGATTGGTTGATTATCTCTTTGGAGATTTTTTTTAGTTCTAAGATATCAAAAATTTTTAATTGAGCTTGACTGTAGCTCACCTTACAGACTTCCCAATGCCCTGTAACAAATACCACATTCAGCTTTTCAACATTCATCTTATCTGAGAAATTATCAAGTTCTCCAAATCCTATATATCAGGCAGAAGCAATCAATGTTCTCCCTGAGAAAGCGGTGGAGCGTATGGTGGTGGGAGGGAATAAAATCCCAAGAGTCCCATCATGTGCAATGCGGGCATCCCATATGGGCACCAGGTTGAAGCCTGGCTGCTCCACTTGCTATCCGGCTTCCTGCTAATTCACCTGGGAAAGCAGGGGAGGATGGCCCAAGTGCTTAGGCTTCCTGCACACATTTATGACCATTTGGGGAGTGAACTAGCAATTGGAAGAATCTCTCTCTTTTATTCTCTGTAACTGCCTTCCAAATAAATAAATCTTGGCGGGGGGGGAAGAAAAAGAAAATTCCACAGATGAGAGGAAATACTCTTTTGAAAACAGGTTACTTTCCACTGCAAAAAAACGTTTACTAGGAGGACAGAGGAAGCACTTACATAAACAAGACCCCAGGGCAGCCAAGTGTCAATTGTCCATAAGCAGAGAAAGAGGTGGTGACAGATTGAAAAGGCTGTCTACCCTTCTAAACCATTCTGCTCATCTGCTGTCTTGAATATTCCCTTGCGGGGATCTCTGGAATATGCTGTGAAAATGTTGCCCTTTCAATCACTGATCTTTGATTCTAACCAAAAAAGTCTCCCCAATGTTATTAGGCTTTCCTTCAACATTTGTTTGTGAGGGCATGCAAAGAAAAATCTTCCCTCTACAAGGATTCTATAAAACTTACCTGTCAAAACTGTGACTTCTTATGGGCACCTCTGTAGGCCCACTTCTAATCAGAGTATACAATGCAAGAAAGTGTACTGCATTTTTCATAATCTTTTTGCAACTTTTATCAAGAGCAATTTTTACAACTATTTTCCAAAAGGGTTTTTTTTAATTACTTAATTTATTTAATTTGAAAGGCACAATGCCAGAGAGAGATATACCTTGCAAACACTTGTTTGTTTCCTGAATGCCCTCAGCAGCCAGGGCTGGACCAGACCAAAGCCAGGAACCCTGATGTCAACCTGAGTCTCCCACATGCGTAGCAGGGACCCAAGTATTTGAGCCCTCGGCTGCTGCTGCTCAAGGGACACATCAGCAGGAGGCTGGATGGTAACAGAAACCAGAAAAGCCAAATTCTCCAATGGGAGAGGCAGGCACCTCTCGTGGTACCTACCTGCTGCACCAGAAACCTGCCCCCTCCCAAGATCATTTTGAAAAGATCCCATCTTTTCCCCAATGGTCTGATAGACCACATCCATAAAACACTAAATTAAAACATGAGTCTATTGTGCCAAGTAAATATTACATGTTCCAAACTGTTACAGCAATTAATCAGGAGCCCATTCAGCTATGCCAATCCCAGCACTTCAGGATCTTTGGTAAGTAAACCAAAACTCAGCTCAAGGTACACACTGAAACAGACAGTTGAACTTAACCATCAAAAACCACCAATTAACTAGAAATGAGGGCCTTCTCACTTTAACCAAGTATTTGTCTTGCTCTTTCAAACATGTCATGTAAGTTTCCCCTTAAGTCATCGTGTCTACAGAAGCACACTGACCTATTCCTGAATCCCAGCCACCAGCTTCCTGCCAATACAGATGGAACTGTTATCACTGCCATCTCATGGGAGACCTAGGTTACATTCCCAGCTCCCATCTAGAGCCCCTGTTCAACTCCAGCCATTGCAGACATTTGGAAAGGAAACCTGCAGACACTTTTAAATAAATAATTAAAAAACAAACAATTAAAAAAGCACTTCTTTACAAAAAATGTTTCAAAAACATAAAAAAGAATATTTAGCTAATACACATGCTTATAACTAAAGCCAATTTTTCTGTACGGTATGAATGAGATTTAGTTTTTCCCCAAATAGGTATACATGGAATAATATCCTTTAGCTACCTGTTAGCTTGAAAATAAGACAAGAGCAAGACTGCATGCCCTGCTCAGGCCATCTTGGGGCACTGCTGGAATTGAGCTGCTTTTTCAAGATTTACCTCTGTTTGACTTGCTCTTCAAAATCATACGCTAACTTGGAGATTCATTTGATAGGAAGAATATGCAAATACTTTATGTCTGGTAAAGTTATAGTTCTATTGCCTTGCAGAATAGCCAGTTTTTATATATGACAAATCTTACTCCAACATTTTTTTCAGTTCCCAAATACTCTCAGAGCCTATCTTACTGTCTTGCATGTCTGTGGCATGATTCCGTAACTACTGCACATCAACAGGTTGCATCATACTATAATCATTAACAAGAGCAAGAGTCTATGAGTGCACAGGTCTGCTTGTACGCATTCTTCTCTTTCACTCTCAGCTTCACCTCTGTCTATGCCCAATACACAGTTTTATTCATTTGGCTTTCTGATGCTTGTGTGCCAATGGGGGCAAGTCTTCTACTGTACTAAATGCTCTTTAATTACACCTTAATTCTTATTTGTGAAATTTAGAATCCATCATTGAAAGGTTACAAGACTGTCAGGACATTCATGATTAGAGAAATGTGCGGAGGACTGCTGTCTTTGCAGCGCTGACCTGCACACCCACACACCGACTCAGGTCCTCCCCCTTCAGGAAGGGTCCGAAGGTGTGAGCACTGCACACAGCAGTGCATCTCCTTGCACAAGACCCATGTTAGACGTTCACATAATCTCATTGTAGATTCTGGATCGCTAAGTACGGTTATTTTAAAATAATTAATCGAATAAAATGGCTTGTTTTACTTCACAGTGTAATTTAGATATTAGATCCAGATGTCTCAAGAAATACATTTTAACTATATGATTGATATATATAGATATATATATCTAAGCTTTAATGACTAATGCAAAGAAAATAATATGCTATCATTTAGTTACAGATATTAGCATGCTGGCAACTATGCCCATATTTTATCCTATTTTATTGCTCTAATTTTTTTTAAATGAACATTTTATTTATAGCTTATTTGAAATGCAGGGACTGATAGAGATCTTCCATTTGCTGTTGCACTTCCCCCAAAAAACTCAATAGTCAGGGTAGACAACATCAAAGCCAGAAGCCTAGAACTCAATCCAGTTTTCCCATGTACTTGAGCCATCACCTGCTACCTCCAAGGACACATATTAGCAGGAAGCTGGAATTAGGAGAGAAGCCAGGATTCAAATCAGGCATGCCAAGTAGTGCCCTAGCCACTACACCACACACCTGCCTCTCAAAGTTACTGAAAAGCTTTATTAAAGTATAATTCAAAGACCATGTTATTCACCCACTTGAAAAACATAACATTTTTTCACTACTTTCACAAAGCAATGCAACTATTGTTACAATCTAACTACAGAACATTTTGTCAGCTATATGTTTCTCTCCATCAGCTCTCATTCCTCTCTCTCCTACGGGTCTGTAGTCCTAGGAACTACTAGTCTATTTTCTGTCTGTAGGTTTGCCTCTTCTGAACACTTTATACCATAGAACCATACAACATGTGATATTTTTATAACCAGCTTTTTTATCACTTAGCATGTTTTCAAGATTCTTCTTTGACATAATACCTTATAGTACTTCATTCATTTTTATTGCTAAGTAATATTCTACTTCATAACCATACCATATTATTTCTTTGGTCATGATACATGTGTTATTTCTACTTTTTAGCCACTATGAACAATGTCATTAGCATCTGTGTACAACTTTTCATGTGTCTTTTGAGTATATGCCTACAAGTGGAACCCTGATCATACGATATCTGTTTCACAATCTGAAGAAATGCAAGAGCATTTTACAAAGTGGTTGTGTGCTTCTGTCTTTCTATCAATAACATATGAGAGTTCTAATTTCTCCACAGCTTGGCTAGCACGCTACTGTCCATTTTGATGGATATGGTGATATCACATTGTGGTTTTGACTTGTTTTTGCCAAAGGACAGAAAGTGTTGCAAATGTATTCAGGTACTCATTGGCCATTTATCTATCTTCTTTGGAGAAGCATCTATTCCGATTATTTTATCAATTATAATTAGTTATTTTTAGATTATGAACCTGAATATTG